TGAGCTCAGTGACCCATTGACACGATATCTATGCACATATATAGTGGATTTATGTGTGCACAGCGCTCACAGTCACTCGCCCAGTCAACCGCAAATTAGTTTCGAGTGTCTGGACATTTTGCAGCCGCAGATTGCGGGAAGGGCATAAATAGATTTATTGAAATTTATATGGTCAGCACGTATTTGCTTAGCCTTCTGTTCGAGTGTTTGGATTTAGGATTTAATGGCGTCAATTGCAGCTGCCCAAGGCAAACACGGGTGGGGATAATCAAATCAAGTATACCACGCGCTGCCCAGTGCCTCAAGGTTAACCTGCCCGCAAATCCTGACCATGGTCAACAGCGGAGCAGACGTAGCATGCGAAGTTCGCAACTTTCGCTCCTGCTTCCTTACAATTTTGTTTACGTTTTCAGCTGGACGCGACGGACACATAATTTATTTTGGCTGCGATGTCCTTGCGTGCCTCGTCTGTGTGCGTGTGTGTGTGTGTGTGTGTGTGTGTGAGGGGAGGTCCTTTAGCCCCGCATTCCCGCCTGTCAGCGCCTGCGAGATAAGCTGACTGCGAGAAATATGTGCCCGCTCCCAAACGAATGTGCGAATAATGAGGAAATGGAAGGCGTAGCGAATGCGGTGCTCCTGCAGGACCTTCCCGCCCTACTACTGCACATCCTGGCCACAAGAAGACATAAATAAAACGCACAACATCGACTTTAATTGGTCACGCCGGTCCATAAGAGAACGCGAATGGGAAAACAAACGCGAACGCGGCTAAAACTGCGAATAGATAGTGGCCGCAGCTCTAGAGATGGCAATAGAAATCTCGTAAATGAAAGAAAATTGAAGATTTAGCCAAAAGCTATCATAAAACTAAGTGTTTCGATCTAAACCGATTTTATCAGCCCTTTAACTATTTTAAAAGGGAAGACTGTTAAAGAAATTAAATGATCTATCTAGTATTAAGCTATATAATTGAATTCAGAAAAACTAAATAAATAAAATGTTATAAAATACTGCATCGAATATTTAAGTCTTAAATGCTTTTAAGTGCTTTAGTGCTTTTTACACCAACTTATTAATTGTACATTCTATTGTTTTGTAAACTTATAGTTATAAGTAGATAGCAATAGATAGCAATATCAGTAGAATCCATCTCAAGTTTTAATCGATGCCTTTCTATTATTAAGTATCAAACAATATATTGTTTGATATATATATTTAAAACTCTTAATTTGACCGAACTAATTTATATTTGTATTGCCCCCATAAACAAAAGTTTGCAAGTATAGAGTAGAGCAAAAATATTAATGTATGACCTGGTAACATTTTTAGTTCAACTCCCGTTCCAGTTTTTATCACCACCAATTATGGAAAACGACTAGTGAGCACGAGCACATCCCCAATGGAGTGGAGTGTCCTGGCTTCCTTCCTCGTCGCCTCAGTCTCTTGGTTGCCGGCGAGGAGGTTAATATGGGCAACTGATTTATGTTCGGCAACAGCAGAAACAGCAACGGAATCGGAATCGGGAGTTGGAGTGGGAGTGGGTAGTTGGAGGAGGAGGAGCCAGAGGAACAGTTGCTACACGCCACGGACGTGGCCGTTTTGAGTAGCCGGCGCCAGACGCACGCGGCACATCCTTCATCCTTCATCGTTCGCCGCCGAGTCCGCCAAGTCCGCCAAGTCCGCCAAGTCCGCCGGATTGCGTGGCTCATCGTCATCGTTCGCATTATAAATGATTTTAATAATTTGAAACGATTTGTTTAGTTCTGCATCAAGTCGGATAAACGTCGATGATTAATTAGCCGTGGAGGCGGCGAACTTGGAGCAACTATTCCCTTCGACTGAAGGATGGGCGTTACATAAGCGCTGGCTGCCACTTTTATCGCTTCCGCATTTGAATGCTGCTACTGCTCTTTTCCCAGTTTGGTGTCCTTAATCAACTTTTTGGTTTTTTCCCCCCACCCCGACCCCCGCATGGCTGTTTGTGTTTGTTGATTTTGATTCCCAAAAGCGAAAATTAATTGGCGCCCCGATGCAGACGATTCCCGCTCTCGGTTAATTGATAAATGGTTGTTTTCTTAGAGGGGGCGACTGCCTGCTCCCGACACATGCAAATTTCACAAAGGTTTTTCCGGAGCAGCTTCTCCGTTGTTTGTGCGGATCGGATCGGATGATAAGGATAAGGCATCATAAATAGGCATCCCCTGGATGTGTGGCTTAAGCTTCCTTCGCTTGATATCGATTGAAGTAATTACATTTTCAAAAGTAAATTATTCACAGAAAATAGCATTTTGAGTCTGCGATTTGTGCAAAACCAATTTGCGTTCATGCATACGTAAATATTTGCATTGAAATGCGAACACACCCGAATTGCAATTATTGCAATGGGCAGAGGCGACTTGCAACTGCACTTGCAACTGCAACAGCTGAGCAACCGCATAGAATGCACACATAGATGCAACTGTCGGATGCCGAGTACCCACTCTAATCCCTGGCGAAACCCAAGTCAGTGGCTTTGCTGCGGTCCCCTCGACCGCTGACCTCTGACCTCTGGCCGACCATTTATCTCCGATGGCACGCTGACAAGTGGGCATTAATTCTAAAAACGATTGGGCATTAATTAAGGGCCGTTCAGCTAGTTGCAGCTGGAGGTCCTGTGTCCTGGATCCAGTTTCCTGTTTCTGAAACCCAATCCCTGGAATAAGCCTGAGCACTGAACACACTGCCGGGCAAAAAGCAATTTGTTAACACTTGCATTATTGACACATTTAATCCATAATTGTCAGCATTATTTGCCTGGATTAATTTAAAGCCATAAATTGATATAAAAAGGGTTATGACGCCGCCTCCATCCGTTTGTGTCAGTGGTAATAATAAATATTTTTAAAATGTAATTTCATTCTCTGTGTTTCGAAAAAGTGAGAATCAATAATTGCAGCTTCAATTTACGTTTTTTTAGGTTTGTATTTAATCATGGCGGCAAAGTCAAATACTTAATGTTTAATAATCCATAATTTGCATATTTATCTGATGGATGGTCCATGTAAAAACAGCCTGCTAAGAGTTAATTTGGCGTTTATTCCTTTTCGATATGATAAATTCCGCGTTTGCACCCGTCCTCGGAAAATTCAATTAATTTAAGTTATTCACTAAATCTGCTGCCTGATGGGTAGCAAATAAATTATGTGTCCCATTTGACATAGAATGCAGCCAATTAAAAGTGATATTTGTGCGCATCATTAAATTACATTTGCCGCTTGCCTCGAAACCATTTAATTAACTGCAAATTTCGAGGGCTTTAATTGAGTACCGTGAGTTAGAAAAAGCATCTAATTGAAATCTACTTGACAAGCCATTGATTCGATGCATTCCCTTTGCCAGATAGTTGTGCCAAAAAAAAGCGTTTGATTAATCAATTTACAGAGTCCAGTTTTTCTTCATTTTAACCCTTCTCTCTTTGGTGATTGCAATGAGTAATTTAATCAATTGAGATCCCCTTATCACCTTTCTTGCACCATTTGCTGTCCCAGTTTTGCACTGTCAACCTGGCCACGCATTGCAATTACTTAGGAAAATTAAAAACCCTGCAATTTACCCCATTTAACAGGTGTGCATGTGAGTGGGCGGGAAATTAATTAAGGCAAAGCTGCACCCATTGGATGACAGATGATGATTGTCTTCCAGGGACAATAAACATCCTTGCTCGCACATTGTGTCCACTTTGTGTCGCTGCATATACCATACACTATATAGTATAAACTATATATGCCCGTGCGACAAGTGGAACAGGTGCTGATTAAATGGCTGCCGCGGGGATTAATATTCCCGCCCAGGGCTCACAATTTTTTCCGCTAAGCAGGAGAAGGTGAAGTGCAATTTTTCCAAATAAATCTTGTTTACTGCAAGAAAATATTCTCAAGCAATTTTTTCATTACCGACTCCTGTTTATTTTTTGCATAGTTTTAGGGAGGTATGCCAGCGGATTTCCATATAGAAAACAAACGCCCCCCGGCTAGAAGCTATAAATTTATTGCTGAACTTTAAAATACCAAGCCGCAGCAGCAGCAGCAGCAAAAGCAGCAGCCACTTGCCCCTTAACACTTCTGCGCCGGCGAGAAGTTGACTGGGAGCCTGTATTTTTCGCAATTATCCTTGAAAAGGCTGCATCGAGACGAGGCGAGCAGTCAAGCTGAGGGACTGCAGACCGAAAGTTGCAGCAGCGTGCCGGCGGAAATGTTTTTTTTTGCTGGGTGTTGAGTGACTGCGAATAATTTATTAGCTGCGTGAAAAATAATTTATGTTGAGTTTTCCCCTCTGCTTTATACACATATTCTTTTGTATCCTGTTGCCCACAGCGTGCAGTCGGTGGGCGTGACCCAGGGGCGGTGGTTCGGTTAACTTTTGGATGGGCAATCGGTCAACAAATGCAGTTCTTCTAATTTAAACAATCTGCTTTAGCAGTTTTGGCAGCACTGCTTACAGTTGCAGAGGCACAGGCTATGGGTGGCTAACTCGGCTAATCCCAGTTTTAAAAAACACATGTCATGGGTAAAAATATGTAAAATAAATGTAGAGTACTGTGGGTTTCATAATTAAAGCAGATATTTTGAATTTTCAAGAAAAAAAATAATGTCTTGTAGAACGTTGAGTTTAAAATAATCAAGGAAAACATTTGTCTTTTAATTTTTTTAAATTGCAAAAAAACTTATTTATAAAACTATGTCACCATTTTTGACCTTTACTTTACTTGTCGAAACTGTCATTATTAAATTTAAAGCCTTATTTTCTATAATCGCTAGCGTGATTGAATTTTTGTGTCAGTTTTGAATTTTTCAAATTAAGATGAATAATGTTGTATAACATAGTGTAAGTATCTAAGTACTTTACCAATCAAAATTTCTTTTTTATTTGACCTATTATTTTTTAATTTTTTCTTTTCAGCAAAGCGAGCGCCCAAACAGGATTTGCTTTGAAAATTATACACAATTTATATAAGTTAAAGTCTGATATTTTATTAATTTATAATTATTACTGGAGTACGAATACATTTCACATTTAAAATATGACGAGAATTGCAACAAAGGTTAAAGAATGCTACGCAACTAAGCGAGGACATCGCATCTCAGCAGGATGCAAATCCTCCTCCTTTTTCATCGATTGAATTGATTAGAATTACGTTTCAAGTTCGCATTAATGATTACAACTAGCAACTAGGTGTGGTTGGGTTCGGGACCTCCACAGTGGAGCAGCACCTGGTGGAGGCGTCGTGGGTCCTGGACGTCCTCTCACTTCGTCCTGGCGCTGCGTAAATTCGATGCGGAGAGCACCGACCGCGGCGGCGGCGGGCGCTCCAGGTTGTCCATGTGGTAGCGGCGCGTCGACGTGGAGGACTCGTTCTTGCGGCCCACCCGGCTCAAAGTGCTGGCACTGGTGGCTCCATTGTGCGGCGGCGGCTTTCGCGGCAGTGTGGACATCTGCAGAACATAAAAAAATTACAAAAAATTAAGAAATATTTATAGGGTTTTTTTTAAAACATTTTCAGGAATTATAGCAAACCCTTAATTTTTGTATTAAGTGCATTTTTTGTTTAATGAAGCGAAGGGAAATAACTTTAGTTTTCATATTTAGTCTAAGGTCTGTCAGCTCAACATATTAGCCTTAGGTGCTTACACCATCTGCGATACAAAAATAAACAAAGCTTGAGGCTTAGTTCACAGCCCAAAATATGTTCATTAATATGCCAAAAACCAATTATAAATTCCAACAAATTTGTTCAGACTTAATTTTCTGATCACCTTTGTTCAGTGGTTCGCCAGCAAAACCAGTTGCAAATCATAGGGTCTTATCAAGCAGAGAACTTAAAATTATCATTTAATGAATAAGCAAGCTTGATTTTCGCTTTCTCAGATCTTCTTTCATTTGGAATTATAATTTTAAAAATAGTTCTGGATGAGTATAAAAAGGGTATAAATTATACCATTAGAAATGTTTATTTCTATTAAGAAATATTAAAGATTATGGAAACTCGAGGCACGTTAAAGCTTGAGAGGCTTCCAAAAATGCCCTTTTTTATATATTTTTAGAAAACAATGAATTTGAAATGTAATACTATTTAATTCTATATTGTTTTTGTAACGCACCCGCTTGTTCTGCTCCTGGGAGTAGTTGATCTCGTAGCCCTCGCTGATGTGCTTGGGCTTCCAGGGGGCCAGCATGGAGACGGACCTGGACACGGTGCGGGTCATGGGCTGGAGGGGCGGCGGCTGCTGGGGCGCCTGCTGCTTGCCCTTGCGAAGGTCATCGCGCGACATGGACCGCCGCCGCAGGTTGTATGGCTGTGGGATGTCGCCCACCGTGGTGGCATGCAGATAGACCACGCTGCGCTGGCTGTGCAGACTGGACTCGCCCTCGGTGCCGGAGCTCTCCGCCGGATAGCGATCCCTGTTGGGAGATTGGATTTTTAATAGTCAAGGTTATATCAAGGACATATCTCCCTGCCAAACCCACCTGCCGTAGCCCACATTCTCCTGGCCCAAACTGTTGAGCAGCCCGCGACGCTCGGCACTTCTGGCCGGCTTCGGTGGCCCCAGCAGCGGACGATCCTCGATCCGTTGGCCACGCGGTCCGTCCACCGTCCTCTCCAGCGACATGGCCCGCTGGCCAGCCGTGCTGCTCCGTTTGTGCCGCTCCGCTGGCTCCGGCTCCGATCCGCTCTCCGAGATGTCGTGCAGTTCGCGGGAGCGCGAGTAGTGGCGCCTCTTGCGGAAGTCCACCTCGTCGCTGCCATTGTCCAGATGCTGCATGGAGCTGGCCCGCTGTCGACTAGCGTTGCTCTGACTCTGGCTCTGGATCTGTGCCTGGCCAGCCAGCGAGTGGCGATAGTCACGGGCTGGAGGCGGAGGACTCCGGTCCAGGTGGTAGGCACTCTGCGAGTGCTTCGACTGGCCCAGCGACGGACGACTCCTAAAGAGCGGTAAGGGAACAGATATTTTCAATTAAATAATTCGATCATTCTAATGGCAGCTATATAATATCGTTCTCGGATTTGAATAAAATTAAAAGCGTTGTTCTGAATTATTAAACTATTACTATATCCAAAAGAAATTCAAAAAAATGAAATATAGGAAAGTTAACATTTTTTTGTTTTTTTTTTTTGCCCAATTCTTTGGCAATATTTTTCTGAATGACCTTAGATTTTAGAAGTGCATTATCGGATAGTTATTCCTCAAAAATATGCAAAACTAAATTTTTGTAAAGTTGCAAAGTTACAAGTAGGGGTAACCTCTAAGCATCTAAGATCCCACAATTCCTCACCTGGGCATGCTGTTGACCTTGGAAATGGTCGGCGGATTGGAGTCCAGGTCGGTGTCGCCAAAGAAGCGCAGATTCTTGGCTGGAGCAGCTGCGGCATTGCGTTTGGTCCGTTTCAGGCTCGAAGTGGTCTCACTGTGTCCATTGACAGATACATTGAGCTGGGGAGTGCAACTATTAGATTCCATTTCGAAGAGGTCTTCACTGGAGTCTTACCTCCTTGGGACTGCTCTTGGCCCGGCGGTCCAGCGATCTGAACCAGCTCGTCTTCTCGACCTTCGCCGGCGGCGACTCCTTTGCCTTTGGCAACTTCTTGGGCGGCTTGTCCGCTGGACTGCGCTTCAACAGCAGAGGACTAGCTTTGGGCGTGGACAGTCGGCGTCGCATCGAGATATCGATAGTCTGTTGAGGAAGACAACAATTTTTGAGATTTATTTTCATTTCACTTTTTGCACTGGCAAAGTATTCTAAAATATGCCGATTTATTTTGGATTTTTTTAATACCATGTGTAAGTTCTGTTTTTGAAAAATCCCATTTGATTAGTGAATATGTTAACCAGTTTTTTCTTTACTTGGTTAGAATTTTAAATTTGACCCTTTTTTTATTCCAAAAAAAGCTTTACAGGACAGTTCCTAAAAACTTTACCACCAGAAATCGAGCATGATTCCCTGATCTCTAAATACAGTGTTTTGCCTTGATTTAATGTGCTGAAGTTTATTTTGTTTATTATATTGAAATTTTAAATTTAAATTTTATAAGTCTAGTACTTCCATGGGGGTCCCCCCTATTGACGACCAGTTTGATTGATATTTTTCCCTGTGCAGTTCGATTTGGTGGGCGGCTTGCTTTCGCTTTCGGGTCAAAGGTCGTCCTCTCCCACTGCCTCGCAACAGGTTGCGAATGTGGGGCAGGTGGCCTTTATGCGCGTAGCCACGTGGGGGAGTGAGGCAGTGAGGCAATGGGGGCTGGCCAATAAACTCGTTTTGCCATTTGCGAATGCGACTGTGAGTCGGCTCGTTTTGGCAGGCCCAATGCAACTTTGCCCCACTTGCGGTTAAAACTGTAATAGGTAATAGGTATTGGGTATTGGGTATCGGATACTGGGCACCAGACAGGGGGCGGTGGGTGGTGATTGGCTAAGGCCGACCTCCTCCTAACCGGCCGAATATTGGATTTGAAATTGAATAGAGGCAATGCAGGTGCCGAGCCATTTTGCGGCACCTAACAATAAGCCAGAGATTACGCACCCACTAAATAATTATGTATTCAAATATGCCCAGAACGCGACTGGGACTGCGCGATATAGTTTATGGCCAAGTTGGGGGCCCATAAATAAGCTAACAGAATTATTGACACAAATTTCTGCGGTTTCTCTTTCGCGTGTGTGTGTTTTTTGGGCATGTAGAATCTGTGGAATGAATGGCAAGCACTTAAAGATTTCTGCGGAACACTTCGGGCGGCGTGTTTTTATTGGATGCCCATGCCCCCATGAATAATGGCAGCACATTGTCCCGGGATTCGAGTCGATGAAGTCCCGGCACCCTGCCCGGTTCTTTGTTTATAAATACCTCTATCACGCAAGCATTATTTTTGACAACGGTCCGGGGCGGCCACACCCTGGCCCGAAACTCCTACAGGATGGTCTCATACCAAAATATACCCCATATATACCCCTATCCCCTCCCAAATCAGTCCCTTAAAGCTGGCTGATTGTAAGCGGTTTGGGCCGCCCACTTGGAACATCCGGCAGAACGAAAAGTGGCCACATCCTCTAGCCCTCTTAGACTTGGCCAAGAAATCCGCTGAAGCATTGCAAATTGGCTTGCAGCACGCAGCAGCAGTAGCAACAGCAGCAGCAGCAATTGTTGCAGTTGCATGTTGCGCAATGTGGACAGCAACACCTTGGCAACAACAGTAGCTCCAACCGTTTTGCATCGGAATCTGGGCTCAAAACCGAATCCGAATCTGAATCTGAATCCGAATCTAAGCCCAGTTTATTCAATTTCCCCCGCCTCGATGTTTGTCGTTTCGCTGTCGGCTTTCTTAATTTGCGAGCGCACTGACAAACGGACTGACAGAGTGACAAACTGACTGGCTGCCTGAATGACAGAATGACAGCAGCTGCGTGGGTCTTCCATTTCTAAATCGTACACACACTTTTGTGTATATATATATATAGACGATTCTCGACCCTCGACGCTTTTGTTCTTGGTCGAAATTTATACGACGCCTCGTCGCTGAATTGTTTAGTTTTTTTCGTGTTAGCGCTTTTCGTTCCGTTTGCAACTCTATTTGGCCAGTTGTCGTTTATTACTTAAGCGTAGTCGCAAGTATTTCTTTATGGTCTTGCCAGCTTGATCCCCCTCCCCCCTCCTAACCCGGTAAGAGATGTACCCCAAAGTGGACGTGACGTCTTGTCTTCTTTTCTTGGATCTTGGGCTGGCACCATTTTCGGCTGGCCCGGGACGCCCACCCAGCTGCCAAGAGATTTCTGAGCGGAGCAGGAAGTGGATCAGAACAATTGGCCAAAAACATCGGTATCGCTGGTACTCGGACCTCGGACCTCGGATCTCGGACCCAACTCCTACTGTTACTCCCCCAAAATGTAAGACACATCAAGACGCAAGTCTTGATTAATTCGAAATTAATAATAGCCGACCATGACCAAATGAGCCGGGGCGAGGGTCTGGAGCCCGAAAAACTCTGCGATCTTGGCCAGCTTCCAGGGTTAATGACCGTCGACTGGCGCCATCAATTGGGCATTAGGCCAAAGGGGCAGTTGCACAACAAAAAATCATACACTCATGTATGTTTTATAACATACCTCGCTTTTTACATGTCATTCTGTTGCTAACCAAATATTTGTAATCCAATTAAATTAAAAATGTTTAAGTATTCATCGAGTGAAAAGTATTTGAAAGAAAATAAAGTCGAGGTATGTATGTATTTATGGAACTAACGAAAAAGACTAAGGAGTTGAAAATTATTGTCATCCTATTCTAAGCCTAGTTCATTTCGACAGCGAAAATTTTGCTTACAATAGTTTTATAACTTTTTTTCACTTTGTTATGTTGTTAAAAAGATAAAGACTATAACAACGATTTCTAAATATTTTGGTGTTAATATATAAATAATGTGGTGATATTGAACTATAGTAATCTTAACTTTATTAATAAAGCCTCTGTAATACATTCCATCAATACAAATTAAGATAAAACTGCTGTGTTATATGTGATTCGACCACTTACCTTTGGTTCGCGTGAGGTCTCCTGGGCGGAGTTGTGATGCTCGCGGTACCGCGACCGCATCTCCTCCTCTCTGACCATGTACCGCTCCCTCTCCCGCTCCCGCTCCCTTTCCTTTTCTTTCTCCCGCTCCTTGTCCTTGTCGCGGCGACTGAGGGTGCTGCTGTTCCCGTTGCTCATCCGATCCTTCTTGCCGCTGGACACGTTGCTGCCGCTGCTGCGACCACTGCCCCCGTTGCTGCCGCCCGCTCCTCCGGCGCCCGTGAACAGCTGCTTGACCTTCTCGAAGCCGCCCAGCTTCTTGTTTCGCTTCAGGGTGCTCGAATCCTCGCTCTTTTGGGTCTGCAACGGGTGGTGTGACTGGGACTGGGACTGGGAGTGCTGATCCCGGCGACGTAGTGTGCTGGTGGCCACCGGGTACTTGTCCAGGTGCGGATCGAAGTGGGAGCCATCGTCGATGGAGCGTTCCCTGTAAACGTAGCTGTGCTCACGGCGCAGGCGCGACGTCAACGGCTGCCTTTGCAACTGCCGCTGCTGGGCACTGTCCCGCCGCTCCTTGCGCAGGAACGACTCGCAGGCCCTCATGTCATCGAGGACTGTGCGTTTGCGCCATCTAAATAATACCAAAATTTAAAAAATGTATTTTAATGTTAAAAGCTTAATAATCTATATGTTTCTTGAAGAAAAAACGCGACAGACAAATTAATTTGGTAAGAGCCAAGCAATTGGCTATTCAAAAAAATATATATAAATAAAATTTAAAATATTGCAAATATGACCATTTTATTTGATTTGTACAAATTTTAAATAATTAAGTTTTTTTTAAAATAAATTCCTTGTTCGTTGGTTGATTTCCTTCGAAAATATATATATTGCTTACCTCGTGGTCAAGTCTCCATTTCCGTTGAAGGACTCCTTGCGGAAGTCGTTCTCGATGCCGGAGTCGCCCTTGTCGAAGCTGCGCTGCTGCAGCTTGTCCCGCTTCAGGCTGCTCTGCCAGTAGTCCTCCCGCCGATCCCGCTGCTGGTGAGTCGGCTGTGACTGCTGCGAGTGCTGCGCACGCAGCTCTGGCGAGGATCGGTACTGATCCGTCAGCTGCGAGTCCAGGCTCTTGGGCTCCTGCTCCAGCCGGTCCGCCGAGTTATAGTCCCGCTCCCGTTCGCCGATGCGTTCGCGATGCCGCGACTCCCGCACCTGGCCATCCCGCTGCGTCTCCCGCACATAGGTCTCCTTCACCCCGCCATGGCCATCGTCGTAGTACTTGGTGTGCCGGTAGCGAGAGGTCTTCTCCATTCTGGGCAGCGTGGCGCCACTGTCCACTTGGGTATGGGCTTGTATTTGTGTTTGGGTTTGGGCCCTGGACTCTGGCGTGTACTCCTGGGACAGCTCGTGGCGCACAGGGCGATGGTGGCGCTCTGGTTCGCGGTCGGGAGTGGGTCTGCCGCCCAGCTCCCGATTCCTCTCCAGGGTGGCTCCCTCCCCGAAACGACGCGTCAAGATGCGCGTCTCCAGCTGGGCCCGCCGGTAGCCCAACTCATCCAGATAGGGCGCGGGACTGACACTCCTGATGACCGGCACTATGGGCGCTTCTGTGCCCCTCGATCGTGGATGAGGGGGATGTGGGAACTCCTCCTCGTAGTAGGCCTTCCTGGGCTCATAGCCCAAGCCCTCGTCCTCATCGCTCAGATTGCGAGGACTCAACTGCTGCCAGGGCGAGGGTGAATGACTGGGTCTGTTGACCAGCGGCATGCCATTTGAAGTGGGCGAGTAGCTGGGCCGCACATCGCTGGATCTTGGCGGTCTGGTCGGAGCAAACTCCCGCTGCGGCGTACGCACATCCCGGTCCGGGGGCGAACGCCTCAGCTGATCCTCGCCCAGGTCCAACTGGGCATAGGTGATGCCCTCGTTGGGCCGGATGTACGAGAAGGCCGGCTGGCTGATCACCGGCTGGGGCGAGAAGCGCTCCATGGACAGCCGCTTGACCAGGCCGTCGACGGTGCGTCCCTTGGTCAGCGGCAGACGCTCCGCCGGCTGCTGGCTGCTGTGCATATTCTCGCCGGACTTGGCCTGCAGCGTCTCGATGCGGTCGCGGATGCCCGCCGAAATGGCGGTGGGACCGGCGCCTCCCGACAGGAGGAGCGGGCCGTCTAGCTCCGCCTGGGAGCGACTGCGGGCCAGCAATTCGCTCAGGCCGCGACCACTTTCATCCTTTTCGCGCGGCGTGACGGCGTCTGATTTGCGGCGCTCCCGTTCCCGGAAATAGTCCTGCTCGAAGAAGTCCTCCCGCTGCGACTGCTCGATAATGGGGCTCAGCTGCTGCTTCGACTGGCTGGTGGACTTGTCTTCCTTGTCTACCTTGTCTGCTTTGTCTGCCTTGTCTCGCCGGGCTAGTTTGCTACTGCCCACATCACTCTTGCTGCGCACTAAACGCCGGGCGCCGCCGTCCTCGAATCGCGGATCCCTCTCCAGCTGGCTGACATTCGTGTCGCTCCTGCGACTGAATAGGCCAAAGATCGAGGGCCGTTTGATGGTCGACTTCTTGGCGGTGGCGTTGGAGGCGTCACTGGCACTCCGCGTCACCGGTTTGCCCTTCTTGCGTCGCGTGGGCAGCGAATGGAAGTCACTGGGCTGGCTATGACGCTTCTGCTTGGCCCGGAAGTTGGGTATGTGATCGCCGTTCTCGGCCTTGCTGTGGTGCCTGCCAGCCTGGGCGATCACCAGGGCAGCCTCCTTGCGAATGTCCGCCGGATCGATGTCCTTGGGCAGTTGGTGGTAGCTCGGCTGGTTACCCGACGACGACTCGTACTCGCTGGGATGCTTGCCTGTTGGAGAGATCGGGGAGGAAAGGGAAGAAAGGGCAGAGATTAACATACTATGGCAGAGGCAGTTCCGCGAACTAGTTGGCATTCATGTAAAGACAAATTAGCACATTAGCCGGCCGATGATGTAATATCTGTGGCTGGCAGTCAGCAAGAAGCAAGCAGTAAGCAGCAAGCAGCAGCCAGCTGTGGCCAATTCACACTTGCCAGCTGCTAAATAAGGCAGCCCGTCCCGTCCAGACCAAAACAATTCGGTCCAAGAGTTGCGAGACCGGCCGTCTGACAATGGATCTGGCCCACGTCCACAAGATGCCTTCGCTTTGTCGGACTGGCTTGGCTTGGCACATCTCGTGGATGTTCTGGCATCTGCCTGCTCTGTAATCGGACGCTGTAAGCGCTAATGGCCATTGAAGAGGCCATGCCGGTCCCAGTTGATCTATCTCTCATAAAGATTCCTCCACTTCCTCACTTTTTTTTCATAATCATTATTATTTAATACGCCGAAAACAACAGCAAAGGGGCCACGAGAACAAAACAGAAACGCCAAGAAAAACGTGCCGAAACGGGCATCATCATCGTGGCCAGAACGAGATGTGCTAGCCGAGATGCGTGATCTCTCCAGTCAGCCAGTCATCCAGTCATCCATTCAGCCCCTTTTCCCGACCAACTTCAGTCTTGTTACACCGAGAGAAATTGGGTTGCAACATAAAACTAAGGTTCTTTTTTCGAGTAATACTTCTCTTTATAAATGTGTTGATAAACAAATCGAAGAAATTTTTTGTAGAATTTATTATTAAGTTAAAGTGAAGCATAATAATAGTATCATTAAAATGAATACCAATTTTTTTAAACAAAACAAATACAAAAAACAAGAAAGAAAGCAAACTTCGGCAAGCCGAAGTTCATATACCCTTGCAGCTATTGCAAGAATTAAACATTTTTGAAAACATTAAAATTATGATTTACTTTCGTATATGTTTAAAAACATTGAAGCTATGATGATTTGCAGCTCAATTATTTGATAGTTATATTATATATTTTTATTATTTCTAAGGGAGCTATATGATATAGACGTCCGATTTTGATAAAATTTAAACCATAATTCTGAAATACTTAACCATTGCTATATGTTGAAGAACTAAACAAAAAAATAAAAAACAGAAAAGTTATAATTTTTTTTCATTTATTTTTCCGATTGTTCCTATGGGAGCTATATGATATAGTCGTCCGACTTTGATGAAATTTAAACCGTAAATCGGAAATATGTAACTATTACTAAATGTCGAAGAACTAAACAAAAAATTGAAAAACAGCAAAGTTATAATTTTTTTCATTTATTTTTCCGATTGTTCCTATGGGAGCTATATGCTATAGTCGTCCGATTTTGATGAAATTTAAACCGTAAATCGGAAATATTTAACCATTACTAAATGTCGAAGAACTAAACAAAAAATTGAAAAACAGCAAAGTTATAATTTTTTTCATTTATTTTTCCGATTGTTCCTATGGGAGCTATATGCTATAGTCGTCCGATTTTGATGAAATTTAAACCGTAAATCGGAAATATTTAACCATTACTAAATGTCGAAGAACTAAACAAAAAATTAAAAAACAGCAAAGTTATAATTTTTTTTCATTTATTTTTCCGATTGTTCCTATGGGAGCTATATGCTATAGTCGTCCGATCCGGCTCGTTCCGACTTATATACTACCTGCAATAGAAAGACAACTTTTGGGAAAGTTTCATGCAGATAGCTTTAAAACTGAGAGACTAGTTTGCATATAAACGGACGGACAGACGGACAGACGGACATGGCTAGATCGACTCGCCTAGTGATGCTGATCAAGAATATATATACTTTATAGGGTCGGAGATGTCTTCTTCACTGCGTTGCAAACTTCTGACTGAAATTATAATACCCTCTGCAAGGGTATAACAAGAAATTTATCAATTTTTTAGAAACTAAGAACAAATGTTATATCTCCTTATTAAAAAAAAATAATTAAGTAAATCATTTAAAATATCTTATGAATCAGAAAATATTTTGTTGATAACCAATTTCACAAATCGAATTAAAGTAAAAGGCCAAAAGCCAAATTAAATTAAAAATTAACTTTAAACTGAAACCCTTCTTTGATAAGTGATCTTTCTTTCTGTGTAGCGCAAACATTTTAGAACTTAGAGCTCACTTTCGAGATCTCAGATCATCGGAGGCATCTCCCTTCTGCGCTGACCTTGCCCCGAGATCAACTGGACTTCTGTTGCCCCACCTGGAGCATGCCCCCCTTCCCACTCCCCCCTTCCACTTTGCGGACACTACCGGAATTGTGGAGCGTTGTCCATTCACCTGCACAACCTGTCACATTCGCGGACCCGCGGAGCCGCGAAGCGAGAACCGCTCCCACATTCGCTTGATTCGTGCTGCAAAATGGCAAAGTGACACCGATGTCTAATCGAAATTCAAACAACAATGAATAATGACAGAGCTGGGCGTGTCGTGTGCCAAATTGGTTTAGCAGAATTGGATTGGAAATGGGATTGAAAATTTAACTGGGATACATTCTTTAGGTCTCTGCCTCTCCAAGCGACTGTGTTTCACTGGCTACAACTCAGTCTCCAACTCCAACTCCATCTCCAACTCCATCTCCAACTCCAACTCCATCTCCATCTCCCACTGCAATCAGCTGTCATGCGATATGTGTCAAGGTGAAAAGTTTGCTCGCTGCACCACCATGATGGCTCACTAGTCTTGGCCAACTTACAAGGTTTCATTTGCGAGCCGGCGGCGTTTTGTATCTTTCTCGTTGTACGTTGATGGCTGCTCTTTTGGAGGCAACAGGAAAACATAAATTCGCACTAAGCGACAGCATCAATGTCGGCTAACCGTAAACAGTTCCAAGTTCCAAGTTCCCAAGATCCTAAGACAATGATCTCGGGGCGAGTGCAGCATTTGATTGATTACCAGGCGCTGAGAGCAGCCATTCATTAATCTAATCATCGATCCACTTAATGTGGCCACGCCAACTCCAGCGGGCTCTGTGATTTGTGATTTGCCAGACCATCCTGGGCAGTTCCAATCCAATTTGTTGCGAGGCCAGAAGGAGCTGCGAATCTTAATAAACTTTTTCAGTCGGCTCTGGAAAAGCCGGCGATAAAGCATCTGATCCACTTTTCCAACTGGTCTGCCTCTTGTCGCCCAGAGCAAGTTGCAAGTTTTGGTCTCGGTTCCGGTTTTTTTTTTTTTTTTTGGGTAGCTGCACATAATTTGGCTCTCGTGATGGCTTGGCGACTTTGCCTCAAACACACTGACCAACTTTGGAGCCACGCACCACGAAAATAAGTCGCAGTGCGGCTCATATAAATAATGATTTCTCGACTTTTTGTGGCAAGACTTTCACTTGCCGCAAATGCTTGCAGGAGCAGGTCGATGGTTTTACTTAAGTTTAATGATACCCAGCCATAATTGTCTGGCAATGATGATGATGCTGGTGCTGCGACCTCCAGTCCTCCGTTTCACTAAGTCAACCACAACCACAAAGTCGAAGAGCCACTTCCATCCCATCCCGTTCCCCGTTCCCCATTCCCCGTCGATAGCAAAACGTTTTAGTTGGCAAAAATGCTTTATACCCCGCTGGCCATGTCAGTGACAAGATAAGGTCGAGGCAAGTTGGCTAAATGGGAGCTCACCCGCATTCCTGCCTCCTCTCGCTACTGGTCTAGGCCTGCACTTCAAGAAAATACTACATAGATTACAGTGAAGTCTTGTGCTAATATATTTTACATTTTTTGAATGCCTCGTTTTGTTCTTCCTTTGTGTTTTTGGGTTTTAAGGCAAACAAGTTATTTATGTAATTATTGGAAGCCATTACATATGTATAAATGATTTCAATCCCTTTTTTTGTAGTCCAATCCAATGAAAACACTTTTTTTTAATAAAGAAGAAAACTAAATTTTGGGATCCCTAATGAATTACAAATTATAGAAACAAGAACAAATGTTTTCAAATAATAAATGTTTACTTATAGAGCATAATGTGTCTTCTTTTCTTAAACAAAACGAACGAATGGAGTCGTTCATATTGAAACAATTGGTTTTTTGTATACCATTTCAGTAAGTTGTCTTTTTTTAGTTGCATTTATATATATTTAAATAAATCTGATAGACTTTTCAATTGGATTTTGGTTTACTTTGAAGGAAACTTCTTAAATGACTTTAAATTACTAATAACTGGTCTTATAAACAGATTTACATAACTAAGCACGAAAAGGAAGTATTCCTAAGGCTTTTTTGGTTAAGTGTTCGATTGGTTTTTTAAGTGTAAGCCTAGGACTGGCATGCTAAAGATCTGCGTAGGTTGCCATGGGGTATTTCAATTAACCGGGCGCACTTTCGATTTCATTTAAGGGCCTAGATCGCCGAGCTGACGTTCGGCTTTATCTGGGCCCCGGGACAGGTCGCATTTATTTTGCGTATGAAAATAATTTAATGCTCCTCGGCTAATCGTGGCTGTGGAGCATATGGACCTGGGCCCCAGGACCTAATCACTTCAAAAGCGGCGCCGCGTCCTTGGGGCAGCCCAAGTATGCAAATCAGCGTGTTGCACTGCAACTGCGGCCGCGGCCAATTAAAATTGTTCGCTGGCCATTCCCGCATGGCTTTCAAAACAAATACGAGTGGTAACTTTCGCTAAAGAATGGAGCCGATTCAAAAGACTGAGGCGACAAACTTGTTTCTCCCCCTAAGCGGCTGTCAACAGCAACAGCTTTAGCTTTTGCTTTAGCTTTGGCTGTAGCCATAGCTTTAGCTGTAGTGGCGGCGAGAGCGGATAAACAAATAACAAATCACCGAAAATAAAATAAAGAAAAATCGATCCATTCGACGAAAAAGAGTTAAAGAGCTCTAAAAATAATCTGCGACTCATTTCAATACACATTTCGATAAAAAAAATGACGCAATCGTCTGCAATTCCAAGTGATTTTCTGATTTTCTGTTGCGACAATTGAAGTTGGGCACACACAGGGATTTGTAGACGATGGCGAGTGGATGATCGACAACTCCATTTAGCCGAATTTACCCAGGTTCTCGATGTGTTATTTATTCGATTTGTATATTTCCCGAGGCGTCTATCCCCCTCGCTCTCTCTCACTCGTGTCACACATAGCACAAACACTTCAGTTTTAAGAACGATAATGACAGGCGGGCCAAGAACCTGACTGAGTCCAATATCAAAAGCGACTGAAAGCAATCTCCGGCGAGCGGACAACCAGTCGACAACTGCGACTGCCTACGCCAATGTCACTTGGCAAAAATAGTAATAACAAAAGCATAGCAGCGAGAAAATAGTGCGAAATTTGTGGGCAGGCAAGCCAAAAATGAGACTTATTAATTAAGTTTCTTTCGCAAAGCAAAGCAAGCAAGCAAGCAAACAAAACGTATGCAAATGATGGATTAATAAAAAGCATAAATGGCATTTTAATAGTTGCCTTCCCAGCCCAGAAGACCCAAAGATGGCACGAGAGCAAACAGACCAGAAACCAGTTGTGTCTTTGACAAAGTTCGCACTCGACCCGAAAGCAAATCAAATGTGGAGCTGGCTCGGCTGCGAACACACAAATTAAGGCGAGTAGGAAACGTAGCAAATCTCATAATAATGACTTGCTCTTTGCCTAATTAAATTAATTAATTAAAGGTGTACGGGCTCATTAGAGAGCAGGCATAATGGGGGAAATGGTCGAATGGGGCATTACGCAATCGACATCGGGAGGAGCCTACGCTGTCGAGTAGTTAAAGGTGGACTTGTTCTCGCAACGCCTTTTTAATCGGCCAACTGAAAGCCATCTGAAATTATGTCATCAGCACATACACATACACTATATACCTATATAGGAAATCAGACAGAGACAACTGGAAGGACGTCGACTTGGCCCAATTGCCAGAGTTCGAACAAAGGAGCCTTTCGTCACCTGTCCGCCTTCGAAAAAGCTGGCTAAGTGCATCCACCAGGCCCAAGGCAACTGAACAGCTCAACAGCTAAACAGCTAAACAGCTGAACAGCTGCCAACCCGACTCGTCTTGGCCAAATTTGTCGATCCGCAAGGTTGATCACGCTCGCTGGCGGTCGCGCTATCGAGGCTCACCTGTAACACACAGCGCGGTGCCACAAATTGGCTGAAATTAGCCGTCTTTTAGTTGATTTTTTACAGTCAACAACTTTGACTTTTGACTGCACTGCAATTTAGCAGAAAATTCACATGTTAACTTGCGGATGAAAAATGTTGTCTTGTGCCCAGCGGGCGATGAGTTTTCCCAAAGCACCCAGATGACTGTCGTCTTCGCTTTATCTCGCTGCTTTGTTGCGTCAAAATTAAATCATCATTAAATCTGTGCTTTACACATAATTGCCTTAATTTGCATGCAAAGATAGCGAAAAGAGAGACTGAAATTAATTTCCAGCTCGCAGTTAAATTACTTTAAGCGTTTGTGACTGCGGAGATAATATGGTACTTAGGAGATTATTCTGCTAATTGCAAGCATAAAGTTCTCTAAGTTTAAATTTTGGTATTCACACACAAAGTTAAATGTATTATTTATAATTTCGACAACCAATTAAAATTATAACTTTCCTAACTACATTTTATGGCTTAAATTCAGCATTATATGCAATCATTGTAGCCTAGTTAACCTAGCACAATTAATAGCTCGTCTTTAATTAACTTGTACATTTAATTTGGTCTCTTTACCACAGTCTTAAATCACAATCCTCTCAGATTATGTTTTTAGTCGACCTCGTAACCATACAGAAATCACAAAGCTAATGAATCGTGCCTGGCTGGCAGATTACCTAATCACGTTACATTTTGGCGACCTCGCTTGTTGCATTTGCCTAAACCAATTCAGAAATTGCAATTAAGTTCGTTTACGTCCATTAAACGAGTTAACCGAAATGGCAGCCATTTGAGGCAATGGCAATTACGCGACGGGGGAAATCTGGTTCATAACCATCTACGCACCGCAATGTGGCCAAAAGGACTTTCAGTTAATTAGCCTTGGATGGCCATAAGGAAGTGTACCAGTAGTCACTGGCAGTTCTAAATTGGGGGTACCATCTAAAAAATGAACATTTGCGTCGGTTTAGTCATAATCAATTTTTAATTTCTTCATTTCTTCATTCCTGACCGACACTGGCCATAAATTCAATCCGGCTATGAAATAAATCCCATGTCGTTGCTGTCGCGGCTGCCAGACATAATCATAACAATAATAATATAGTCGGAGCTGCGGAGACAAAGTGCCCAGATGCAGTGGCTCCGTCCCAGAAAACCCCCCGTCCTGGAGGAGATGTGCAAATTGATACCCGGGCGGCGAGAGCGAGCATCTCTCGACTGCGACTTGTAATGCCTTATAAAATATCAACTTATTTTAAATAGTTATATGGAAGCTCTCTACTTTACGCCACTCTGAGTGTGAGTGTGTGCGATTATTCTCAAGGTAAACTACATTTTATTGTTGGGGCGGCTTTGTTATTATTATTTTTATTGCTTTTGGCATTCGTTCTGGCTTTATTCGCCCACCAGCGCGAGGTTTCACATTGTTTTTCTTTCTTTTTTCCATATTCATAGTATGTGGCGCTGTCTTACTTGTTTGTTTTTCTTATTCTTGGCCAAATTTCAAAAGCTGTATGGAAAAGTGAAGAGCAGTACGCCAGTTATGCAATCGAAGGTGGAAAGCCTTTGGCCAGAACTGGCTGGCCAAGTTAATGAGTTGAATTGAGTTGTGAGTTGTGAGTTGCATTCGCGTGGGTTGTTAGCGTCCGTCATTGATTGACCAAAATTGGCCTACTCACACAGAAATATACGGGTAAGTTTTTCAGATGCCACTTGGTTAGTAATTTTTTGCTGTTAGCTGGTTATTGATGAGGTTTCTTATAGCTGGTTTTTGCTTAGTTTGTCATTAGAGATCATTGTGGGTTCGTGTTTGCCGCTCTCATTCGGCATTCGGCTGCGCGTGTTGGTTATATGTTTTTAATTTCTGGTTTTGGTTTTGTTTTTGGTTTTGGTTGTGTATTGGGGTTACGATTGTCGGGGGAGGTGTTCCTTAACAACGCACTGACCTATCCGCTTCACGTGCACATCCCGATTAAAGCTGACCCGTGGTCCTCCATTTGTGCTATGAGCTCCAGTTTGCATCTTCGATCGGGGATTGGATATCAGGGGTATATCCTTGGGTTTGGTTCCTCTCTTTCACTCTCTGTCTCTGTCTCTGTCTTAGCTTTTCTCTCTCCTGTCGGGTCTTCTTTCGGAAGAATCGCAACCCTAAGTAAACTCTTTGTGTGACAGTCTCATCTGTTTGAACTGTTTGAACTCTGCGCATTTTCCATTTAAGCTCTGCAATTTAAATGGTTTTTAGCTGCAAGAAGAAATAATTCTCTAAGTAAACCTCTTTTTCTGTGGTTATTTGTGTTATTTGATTATTTTTCCTGTAATTAGGCCAGCATTATTTTAGTTTGCAGCTCGTCGGTTAGCCTAGTTTGTTTTTTGTTTTCTGGGCTGAGGCTTTTCAGCTCGTTATTAATTTTTATGTAATGTACACATGCGAGTGTGGACTTGGTGAGAGAAAGTATTATTAAAGATAAATTAGTTAAGCCAATTGCTAAGAAGTTGTATAAAAGACGTATTAGAAATTGAAAAGAATTGATTAGGGAAATATTAGGCATTAAATGAAGAAATTGAATAAAAAAGTTGTAAACTTTAAACTGGTTACCTTTGAAACCACACTTCAGATTACAATTTCTTTCAATATTTCCTATAATGTTCATACCTTTTCAAAGAGTATAAACATGACAGCAGTCAAAAGAATAATTGCCAATTAATTTCCATTCTTATTCCGATTCTGACTCCAAATCCGACGCTCAATTTGACTGATTCCTCCGTTTCGGGAGTGGGCACAATCGAATTAACGTTTTTTATTCTGTATTTTTCCTTTTCTCTGACAATTACGAAAATAGACACACGACGAGGGTGCTTGGGCTGCATACGAGATTCACATTCTAAAGGGACGAGGCAATGGTGTGTGGTGTGTGGGGAGTGCCTGAGAGGCGAAAACTGTAGAAATATTGATTGCGATTAAGCAAACGCGATAATATTCATATTTGAATACGAGAGTGCAAACTCTATTTAAACAATGCATTATGCCCGAGGACACTCATACCGCGCCGTTCCCGTTCCCGACCACCTTTCCCTGTACCCCGTCCCCGGATTCCCTTCCAGATCTCCCAGAAAAGAGCGTCCAGTTTAGACAACTGCTCCATGGACACGCACCCACCCAAGCGCACACATGCAAAGACTGCAAAACGAGAGACTTTGGGGCGATCTTTGGACCCAATCAAATATTGTATACCCTTCTAAGTGATTGGCATTTTGTTGATTTTTATTATTTTTCTACAAATTATTTAATTCCTAAAATGGACTTTTCATAAATTATACCATATAAGAAGTACTGGGTTTTGTTTTATTACTAATGGCCTCTTCACACATTCGGTTTCTTATTTGAGATCTTGATTCTTGACATTTGAAATCTAGTCTAAGTGCCAAACAGCTCAAATGCCATCATCAAATAATTAGACAGGTGTTTACAGCATTTTAACAAAAATCAGAAAAAAATGTAAATAAGAATAGAACACAAAATATATAATATGGGGAAAAAAACAATTACGACATGATTTATAAAGCTCAACAAAAGAAGAGTTTTGTTTTATGTAAATCTAAGCTTAATATATAGATAAAACAAACTTTCAACCCATTTGATAATAAACCAAATTTTTTGATTATAAGTATGCATATTTGCAGAGTTTTTTAAGTTTCAAAAAATTTAAAAACAAAAAGGGATTTAAAAACAAAAAATAGGTATTACTATCGTTAAGGGAAAAATGAATTAGCATGTTTATTTAGACAAGGATACAAAAGAAAGCTAACAATAAAAGAATAAATATTCCACGATATTGCGCCAACATCAAACATGACAAGCAAACAAAATAAAATATAAACTTAAGATTTTGGAAATAAAAAATTTAGATATCTGCTTGGACCACAAAAAAATACTTTAAATTATAGTATGTAAATTTTAGATTTAGCCGGGTACATAAATACAAAAAATACAAATATTCTAAGAAATTTAGCCAAAACATGCCTATAGAGTATAAGAAGGAGCTCGGTAATGTGTGGAAAATGCCTGTCTATTATGGCACCTGGACAAGGACGAGGCCGGCTGTTCATTCACTTACTGGCTTACTTACAGGCGGCAGTCCTACGGCTCAAACCCCGACCCCGACCCTCGTACCAACCCTGGTCCCGACCCAGACCGAGGCCCAGACCCAGATACAGACCCCGATTGAAGAGCAGACTTTAGAGCTGGAGCTGGAGCTGGCTTTACGCTCTAACGAGCACAATCGCCCGGCTAGACATCAATGGCCACGTCGTCTGTCTGATCACGGGCACCGATGCAGTCCATCGCAGGGAAAAAACGCTGCGAGCTGCCAATAAAAATCCTTTACCATATAATTTGAGTGCGCATGCGTGCGCCCTGACGTTGATGGGACTGGGACCCAAGTTCGAATTCAAGTCCAGACCAGACCAGACCAGACCAGACCAGGCAAAGATCGGATGCTATGGAATGGGATGGGATGGAAGGCAGGCGCTTATGCGCAATGCTATGCCTATGCCTATGCCTATGCCAGATGCCGATGTCCGATTCCCGATGCCGATTGCCGAGCGTTGATTGCGCCATGAACGTGATTTGTTTGTAAACACGCATTATTAAGGTGTAATAAACATAAAATTTGTATCGCTTGGCGATTCCTTGGACCTTGGAGTCGACGGCTCTGTAAGTTGCGACTGCAATTGGGCACCTCACCATCGCCGGGCCGCACATCTTTCAATTAAACTAAAAAGCTGGACGGACACCCCGCCACTCCATTCACAGCTCGCATTTGCATGCGTCTGCGGAGTAGCTAATTTCAGGTGAATTATGCGAAATTATACGAATTACGCCCGTACATGTGGGAATGGGATTAGATTAGCGCGCTGAGTAAACAATTTAACTTCCCCCCCGCATGGCAGAACAATAATCGTTCTGAACTTGAACTTTAACACGGCGGTAATGATAGGAAACCCCACAATCCAAACTCCACCCAAGTCTGCTGTCGCCCAAGCCCCAACTCAAGCCCAAACCCTCCGCACCGCCGCCCCTGTCAAGTGAAACTAAAAGTGCGCAGCAAAGCAAACAAACGCTTCGACTTTTGCCCACTTTGCGTGTGTTCTCAGCGCCGCCAAGTCGATATGACCTCTGGGGTTCAGCCAGTCGAGGGAGATCGGCCAGGTCCACTGGGAGAACGGAGCTGGCCAAAAACAAACCTCGTTCTTTTATCTGAGCACTGGGCAAAAATTTAAGGTCTAAGCTTGAAGGTCAAGCAAGTAATTTCACTATATTTAGAGAAGTGTAACAGTCGTCTATATATTGATTATTGTTTGTCAACGAATTTCAGTTATTGTTAATTGTAAATTGTAAATTGTAATGAATATTTATTATTTATTTATATGTGTTTGTTTGTATTAAAAAACAAAGGTTCTTAATAAATTCAGATGTTTTTAACACCAATTTATTTTACCGCTTTAACAAAATTAAACTTAAATTAAAAAACTGCTCAACCACATCCTTGTCAAACTATTAAATTAATCAAAATTATACCAAATAATTTTAATTGGATTGGTTTTTTATTTTCTTTGAGATACACATCATTTCCCGCAGTGTGCCAGCTAGCGCGGCCTTTCGCATAGAAGTGAAAATGAAGGTGTAGTCCAATTTGTAAGTATGGCCAAGCCCTGTGGCCATTCAAAGTCCATGTTATGCAAAGATCAGAGCAGCCCCGGCTGCCCACCGCCCCTCTGGAATGTTGGCTGAATTCTGGATTCAACTCCCTCTGGAGCGGAGGAGCCGAGGAGCCGAAGAACTAAGGAGCTGGAAAGCCGGGCCAACTGGACGTTGTCTAGCGATGGTAACATTTTTACATGCGTGCCTCGCCGCTCCGCCGCCGCTTTGTTGGTGGCGCTCGTTCGCGTCTTCGACTTTGGCAAATACTTAATTGCATTTCGATATCTATGCCGAGGCATCTGTGAGTGAATGCCGCTGCTGCTGCCTCAGCGGGCTGACTTCCCCAATGCCCAATGCCCAGTACCAATGCCCAATGCCCAATACCCAATACCCAATACACAGTGCTCCAGACGGCCGAGACGAGCGGACAGGCAAAGAACGCGCCGGCGCTGTCTTTGGCCAGGAGTCGCAAATCGAGAATGGGGAATCGCGAATCGAGAGTTTGGGCCAGGCCAGTCCATGGCATTACCAGTGCGTTCAGTTGGTTTAGTTTGGTCTGGTCTGGTCTGAGACCCTGGCGACTGGCGTTGTGGGTATTGTCAGGTCTTACAACTAAATTCCCCTTGAGCCGAGCGCTTTACTAAGGAAATTAGTAATTGCTACTCCCATTTAGAGACATCTATGCGGGCATCTATGTACGTGTGGCATTCGCCAGATGATGACGATGACAAGTTCCCCGCTCGGAGATTGTCTGGCGATTGTCCAGCGCCCACTCACAATCGCACACACTGGCGTCAAAGAGGGGGGCACTTTTGCCCCATTGGCTTCCACTGAATTGAATTGATTAAGAAAGAATACTTACGTTAACAGATCAAACATAAAACTGCCGACCAAAAGTCTAGGAAGATCAAAATGGAAATTAAGTTTGAAACCACATTTCAGTTCCAAAAATGCCACAGTAACTTGCATTTGATTTAATTGATACATTGAATTGCCAATATATAGGTAGATATTGAACTTGCACTTTTTCCAATAATATTATCTATTCGAATGGTTATATAGAAATAAAAGAAGCTTCAAGATTCTTTTAAACTTGAAGTATATATTAAAACAAACCAATTACAGTTTACAAAGTAATAAAGCAAATTAATTGCGAAAATTGTATGCCTTAAATTTCAATCTCCAACCATTTAAATTTAAACATAGAAATGTAGCCATTAGAAGGTAAAAAAAATGTTGTAATTCTCGGTGAACGTTCTTTAACCCCTTTGAGCCCACGACACTGGTTCCACCTACCAATGCCAAACTTGGTCACATTGTCTGTCATCGTTTTTGTTTGCCGCTCCGCTGTCGTTTTCACGCTTTGTTAGCCAGCTAAACTGTATCTGTATCTGAATCCACACTGGTCGAGAGGAGGAAGCTTCCCTTTTGTGCCAGTATCTCACACTCGGACTTAGTCCACTATGTATGTTAGAAGGTTAATTTGTGCGGCATTACGTGGCAACTTTAGCGTGTTGTTGGGGCAAGTGTCGATAGCATAATTGCAAGCTCTTCCCAGGCCAGCGAAAAATGTAAATCAATTTCTTTGCTTACATGTCCGGGTGTTTTTTGCATGATTAATAATGCTCGAGAGGCCTGGGATCGCCGGAGGGCACCGAAAGAAGACAAAAGATTTCACTTTTCGAACTCATAATTAGCCCTGGGAGTGTAAGTATATCGGAGGTGATGGAGCTCTGGATTCTATCCATGTCATAGCTGGTGGCTGTGCGACTCCTAACCTGCACGGAAATCAATTAGGCACCGCGGCGATTGGACAGTAGAGAGTTCAGATCGATCGATCGATCATAAGTCAACAATCGCTTAAAACGCGACCAGACGGGGAGATGCGAAGCCAGCACAAAAACATGTAAAAATTGAGGGGAAACGTCGAATATTCGAAAATATTTGGTTGATATAAAATGTAGCGTGTCTACGAATGACAAGAATATTTTCACTTTTGTTTTTTTTTTAATATTTGTGAAATCAAAAAACATAAATTGCTTTCTTGTGTACTTTAAGCCCTTTCGCTTTTTTTATTAAATGTTTTGGGGATGGGACAAATTTTAAATTAAATTAAATAACAAATAGATAAAATAAAGCAATGTATAAAATACTTTTCAAAGGAAAAGGTATACTCCTTTGTTAAGCCTGAAACAATTATAAGTAAACGGATTTCCGTTTTGATAAACTAAAAATTGTATCTTGTACCATATTTTTAGTACCAAATTTTTAATAAAATGCCTTTAATTTTAACATTGTTTGCTGTTTTAATATTGCTTTAATTCTCACGCCTGCTTGGGCATTTCTCACTTTTTGGGCAACTCCTGGCGCCACTCCTTGCTCCTCATCACTCCCAACTGAACCAACTCACTGTGGAATTCTTCGCTCGTTATCGCTGTATTCGCTAGCAATTGTGCGCAATTATTGGCCAGAGAATCCACGAAACACGAAGCTTTTCCTGGGAAATCAATAAAGGAGGCAGCGTCAAAAGTTTCCGGCAACGAATCAAGCGCGGTGGCAAAGGTCAGCCGGCTCATCTCGGAGCCAAAAAAAATACAAAAACAGAAAAAAACTGAAAAAGCGGCCTGGAGCCAAGGAAATCGAGCGTTTCGTTGAGTGGGAAAAGGGCGAACTTGCACGCGATGCGATGCTGGCTGAGAGCTGGGAGCTGAAAGCTGGAAGCTGGAAGCTTTGGGTTTTAGCCAAATGCTGCTGATGCCAATGCTGCCTTCTTTGGGTCTGTAGTGCATGTCATAACCAACGGTGCATGCGCCATCTTCCGCCTTGCATAAGACCCCCGGATGGTTTCACTTTCCCGGGGTAATTAATGCCAATCGTCCGGCTAGCGGTAGCTAAAATCGTAATTTATGCTAATTTCGGTTCGCAGATCGTTTAATTGATCCGCGTTAGATTCGATTTCGATGGCAGCCCCAGAGTTCATTGATATGCAGTTCGATTCGATTCGGTTCCATTTGCAACTCCATTCCCCGGCCAATGTTGTTGACCGCGAATCAAAGTCGCTTACTTGTTGGCCTGGCATACAAAGTACGCTTTCAACACGACGACGGCCTTTTCGTACGTTTTTGTGGGTAATGTTTTGTGCCCCTCAATTGGGTAATTCGGGGGGTGGATGGGGCGGCACGGGACTTATGGCGTTATGAAAGCGTTACAAATCTTCGCTTTGAATACGACACTCCACTCGAGTCGAGTCGAGTCGAGTCCAGTCCAAGTCCACTTCAGATGGGGCCGCTGTTTGTGTACGTGATAAGGCAATGATGATGACAACCCATCGTCGTAGACCAAATCGCGTCTCATTAACATTTCGGCCATAATCGATTCAGTTTTTACTGGCCTGTTTTACATCTAATTTATGTGCATGTAGCAGTGTCGCTCGACCAAATGATATCATGATGAACGGCCCACGTCTTGGGGGCGATCCGATTCTTAGAAATTCGTAATTGGCTCGGAGATGAAAGCGCCCCAAACAGAGCGAAACGGGCGAAACTATCGGCCAATACATCAATTTAATGACTTCATTGAGAGCCTTAAGCCCGAACCCCAAAAAAGAAGAGCCCGAAATCCATTTCGGCTTGCGGCACTTCCAGCTTCCCAGAGCCGTTCGCCGTTTACCTGTTTCCCAGGGCGTCGAGTTGCACCTGCTTTTTGGCCCGGCGACACTTGATATCCCCCAGAAAGGTCAGCGTTTGAACTCTGGGGCTCGAAAGAAAAAAAACCAAATTAAGCCAAACGAGCGTGTCAAATGCCGCTGATTTGCGGGGTAAGGAGCTAAAAGTAAACCCAATTGAGACCCAAGTACTTCCGCAGCGGTCTATGAAGTGTCGTATGCCATTTACCGTTCCAAACCGATCCGATTCAATTCAATATGTTTTGATTCAATTCCCGCGATCCGACTTCCGCCGAAGAGTCTCAATGCCACTCGCTGATGTTTGTGCTTTTAAATCAAATGCGACCAAATCAAATAATTTGTTAACACTGCCGCTTAAGTCAACAGTTAAACAATCAGCGATCGACGGCGCTTTCAGGCCGGTTGCGCCACAGACATTGACAGACATTGATTTTTAAAGCCATTTTGTGAGTTTTGCCCGGCTTTTGTTTGGCTGTTGAACCCCCATGGGCAATTAAAGCTGCACGATGCCAAAGTGAATGTGCGGCGATCTGCGAAGATCGCCTCGCACTTCCATTCGATCGCGTAAGGTCACCAGGGAGTGGGTTACAGAAATCAAGCTGATTCCAATGAATCGGGAAGAAAATGTGTGATTTAACACAATCCTTAATTTAGGCATTACAAAAACTCGGTTGGAATATTATATATGATCTTTAAATGCCTTTGACAGATTACGTTTTAGTTTGGCTTTGGCTAGTTATAAATTTCAACAGACTGGTCAATATATTGCAGAGACCGCTTTGACAAATTTATTTTATTCCTTTTTTTAAATCAAACACGAATTCTAAAGCAGAAGATAAACGATGACATTGACATTGCCCGATAAAAAAAAACTTTTTCTGGCATATACACATAACTTTATATAAATTCGGTTAGGAAACATTTGACCTTTTCAGACCAATTCATTGTTTTTGATTTTCACAAAACCCTTGTTATTCTACCGTTGGTTCACATTAGATGGAAAACAGCCGAGTGGGTATTGAAATGCAAAAAAATAGTTTCAGATCAGCTAAACACTTGTCAGTTTAAAGTTCACACCAATCGTGGTAAGCAAACTGACCTAAATAAATGAAAAGCAGACTTGGCTGTAGGTAAATTACCATTTTATTTTTATTGTATTGGTTTTTTATGCATTTGCCAAGAATTTAATGTTAGAAAACAAACGATGAGCTACGACTGAGTCGAATATTAAAACAAGCGTAATAGCCTCAGCCGCCAGACTTATCTAAGAAGCAATACATGCTTGTTGGTGCTAAGCAAACAGCTGCATTAGTTCCGAGAATGAACTCTCTGGCGGCGACGGTCTTTGATCTCGGTGACTAATTACTGAACCCGCGTCGCGTCGTAGGTGTACGTGTTAAAAGCCGGACACGGACACTGACTCAAAGCAGGAAGCTCCCCGGGTCACCAGCGAAATCGAATACAAATTAAATACAGAAAATCGAAATGCTGGCATCGCCTTATGCACAAATACAAATCATCCTTGACGCATGCACACCAAAAACGGCAGCCCGAAAACCAAAAAAAAAAAAAAAACGCCGAACAAAAATATCGGAGAGCTGGAAACTGAAAACTGAAAACAAGATAATACGGAGGCAACGCAACTCCCAAAAACGAAAATGAAACAAGCCGTAGGACTGCATACAAGGCAAGGCTGTAGACCTTTTTTGGCCACATCAACAAAAGCGGCTTTTTGAGAATTTTCAATTTTTTCAACCGCCAAACAACCCCCCACCCTGAGTGCGTCCCTCCAGATCGTTTTGGCTTCGTTTAAATTGAAGTTTATTTCCAGACGACGGCGGTCGAAACTTTCGAATTTTTGGACTTTAATGAGGAGTCGAGTTAATTTGGCCGGGCATTTGAAGAGGCTCACAAGGCACTCGGGATCCTGAGCTGCACCTAACAAAACGAGAACGAGGTGTTTACCAAGGCACCTACAGGGACACACCAATATATATACATATATATATACGTACAATAAATAACATATATTTAAACAGCTTTGGGCATCCAGATCCAAGTGACGTCATGGGCCTGGCATTGGCATTGGCATTGAAACTCAAGGTTGGTTTGGTCAAATCTTTGGGGTAATAAAACGTCTCCCACGCACAATAAAAAAATATAAATAAATTAGAACTGGCAAAGCGACTTTTCCTCCTCATCTTTGAGATCCTTCCACAGCAGAAAAGGCTGCGAAATGTATCTGGAATGCTTGGGATATAGATTGGATAGGGCCAGCAGATCTCCTGCCATCACGATGAAGATCTGCGTATAGCGCACCGATGGGAGGCCGAAAAACCATGCCAACGTCTTCTTCGGATCCATTTTTTCTAGTATTTATCTCTGGACTGTAGAATATATCTGTTTCGAGACTGCTTCGGATTGAGCACTAACTCCCTGGCGATAAGGTTTTCGATTCTAATACGTTAATGAATAACGAATAGCTTTGAATCTGAATTCAAATGTGCCGATGCTGGCCAATTACTTATGTATATTTTGCCAAAAAACCACACAACACCCATAAATATAAAATTCCAAATCGAATTAAAGCCAAAGCTAATGTAAATTTCGCATTTGCAATGCTAATTCGTAAGAACCAATGTATAGATTTCTGAGAGTAAGACGATTTCATAGATTCTCGTTTTAAAAACGCTTAAACTTTCACTCGAGTCGTCCGTCATCATTGAAAAATGTTTGCTTTCGATTGAGCGAGGCCTTCAGAACTCTATTTCCGCCCAAAACAATAGAGACGCTCGCATTTGCGGACTCGTTCGAGTTTTTATTAACATTAGAATTGGCTATTGCTTATTAATTTGCATCTCCATTCAAAAGACCCGCCGAAGGTTGTTAAGTATATTTGTTAATGTTAATGTTGCCCGGGAAAAGAGGGGCACAGAGAAATAGCGAAATAGCGAAAGAAAGTAGACGGCGAAAGATCTTCTTTGCTGAACTCGACCAAAATGACTTCCAATTAACCAGATTGGGCGAAAGGTTGAGCGGATCAATCAAAAACTTCAACTATAGATCTGACTCATAGTCGGCGCTAATGCGTTGGCCGACTCTATTCTATATACGGATATGGAACACTCACACACACCCACGAAAGTGTATAACTGGGACACCTTTCGGGGGTCGTAAAGCCCACTGCAGATCGCTATTGCGATTGCCATCCGCTGCGAGGCTGAATTATTCAAGACTGTCGCTGGAAGAATCGCACAGAAGCTTGGGTTTTAGTATGGATAGTCCGGAGTTCCGATTCGGCGGCTTATAATATAGATTCGGTTATCAGAGCAAAAGCATCTACGGCGTTAGCTGGCGGTTTTAGGGTGGTTCTACTGTACAAAACGATCGTCGACTCACCTCAAAACAGCATTCCTCGTGCGTTAGTGTGGGGGAGAACAAACGATTTTGCAGTTCTTAGTAATTTGCGCAGTTCTAATTACGTTTATTTTGTATTGGTTGTGGGTTCGTTTTTGCGGCTTTTGTTCCCCGTTTGTTGTTATTATTTCACTTGCCAAGTGTCGTCGCGAAAATTTGCTTATTTGCAATTTATATTATTCGCTTTAAAGGCTGTCGAAGTTGGAGTTTTGGTATGCACGTCAAATTTTAATTAGTCGAAAAAACGTTTGCACAATTTACCGAAAATTTATCACGATTTGTGTTTTGAGATTTTGTGTCGTTTTTGCGTGGGTTTCGCTGAACGGTTGAATGGACGTGCCGATGGTCGTTGCTTGTGTTAACTTTATGTGATATTGGCAGGGAGGATCGAGCGATATATCCTCTGTGGCAGATGGGCGCTGGCCAGTTCGTTTGTTTTTTTTTATATTTTGTAATTATTTACTGTTTGTAATTGCGAACGCGACGCAGTTTCGATTGCTTGCACAGCTGAATCGCGAGCTTTTCTCCGACCCAAGTGATCGCGAGTACGTCTGAGAGCCGACTGAAGCCCAGATCCAGCGTTTTGGCCAAGATCGCCGCCAAAGCTCGGCGCAGAGAGCCCCAAAGCGAGGGAGAGGACTGAGAGAGAGAGAGAGAGAGAGAGTGAGACAGAGAGAGAGCTTAAGTCGTGGTAACAAGTGGCGCAGCAACAAGTAGCCGGTGTTTGCGAAGAGCGATCGAGAGCAAGTTCGTGTTCTGAAGTCTTTCGTTTCGCGAATATGAATCAAATCAAGGTTCGAGTACTCACTCGAAAACAAGTGAAACCAGATCGCCCAAACATTCTTGGGATGTTTTCCTACGCGTTGGCCAATATGAAAATGATGTTCCTGCCTGTTCCGTTTGTCAACCAGTTTCCACTGGCTTCTGTTCGGTGACCCTCTACCAGGTACTGCTCCGCCCTTTCCCCTCCCCGTCGGGGCCACTCCCACTCATCAATCACTAGTCATTAAAGCAGAGCACTAATTAATTCATCTTCTAGATATGATGGAGCAAGGCGCTAATCCCAGGCCACAAAAGTAAACAAAGCGTAAAATATGTCCAGAACTTAACGCTGGAATATCTTTTAGCCAAAACTACAGTGCCACTTCTGTCTTTCGATTTTCCAATGTCTTCTCAGACAACTTACATTTCCATAAGTCGATTTTTATTCAGAACAGAGTTGAGTCACTCAAGTAGAACAAAAAAAAATATTACAAGATCTTATCGTTAAAGGCTTTTATAAAACTTTAAAGAACATGTTTACAATGTTTGATAAACTCTGATAAAATACTTTAAAAACTTTGTTGGTTTTACTTTTTGAATCCCCTCTGTATTCACATGTTCATATATTTACGCGTTTATAGGCACACACTTGAATATTTGAATATCACAGTAATTAATCAAAAAGTCAGAGAAATAAGCAGCACATACAAATAAATCAACGATCGTCATCGTCGGTCAAGAAACTATAAAGCACGTCCACTCCACCCCTTCAACCCGTACCCCTCTTCCAAGTCAAAGGAACCCATTTCGGTTAAATAAAGTTGTCAACCCACGATACTGGCGTGTGAAGCTCTCTTTGGCTATACACAAAAAAAAATAAAGAAACATTTCGTCTTTAACTCTATTTTATATTTAACTTCATACATTAGGAACACTATGCGCTTTCCTGCATCAATGGCACTCCAGAAGGAATTTTTGGAAAAAATGCGGTTTTAGGATCTGCGCATTGAATTAAAAGCATATCGCTCATACGTACTGTTGCCTTTGATCAAGAAATGCATCTTTCACAAACTTCATGAGTACCTCGTGAGTATTGGTTGAAACAATTTTACAGTGATACAAGTTAAGAAACGGATGAAGCGAAGCAATTTAACAAATATTTGCTCAAAGCTTAAATGTAAATTCTTCCTTAAAAAAAACTGCATTTAAATCATCTTTTGACTTTAAAAATTAGATGAAATCTCGAAAAAAAAACATTTCTATCAGTGTAATTTTTCCCAATTGTCAAGTGTTCGTTTTGCATTCCACTTTCGAGTGTTTAATTGTGCGCCGAATAACGGTAACCAAAGCGAAGGCCAGAGAATTCTTGGAACCCCTGGCTCTTCCAGCCCCATTAAAACGCATTTTATGAATGAAAAGCGGGATGCGAAAAGCTCGACGTCTCCCCTGAGCTTTGCTTTAAGCCTCTGGGGAGCTTTGTGAAGGAAACCCGAAAAGTGCGCCGAGCTTGCGAAAAACACATTTTCACCAAGCACATTTTCCATTCTGTTTGTTGTTCTCGCTGAGTGCGGTTTGCATTTTATTTCTTACGTGTTTGTAGGCTTTATTGATCAATTATAGTTTGCCAAGTTGGTTACCTTTCTAAACAGTATTAATAGCAAATTTAGGATAACAGAGATTGATTGTTGCATTGGTATTCATAACCGAATGTTAAACCTAAAATGTGCGAATGGCATCATTTGGCCAGGCCAAAAAGTGAAGCCCCCTGTGATATAAGCTGGTCACAATGGCCATAAAAAGCTCTCCGACAAGCGAATACGAGCTTTCGTCCCGTTAGTCGCGCCATCAGCTGACCTGGAGCAACAACAACCTGTGCGGGGCAACAAAGATTGGCGCTAATTTTATCCAAAGTTCATGGTCATCCTCCTGGAGCGGAGAGGGACTCCATATTGGCTGAAACTTGCATCCTAAAATGGCCCTTATTCGGTGCTGCTTTGAGCCTCCGGAACTTCCCGAGTTCTTTGACAGTTTCGTACAGAAATGCACGGATCCGAGTTGTAAGTACAGGCAACTTAAGATCTAACGCATTACTTTTTCTTAGATACCGGTTACAAATATATTTTTTATTAATTATTTTGTTCAAGGCAAAAATTGTTAGTCTTCTTTGAATCAAATAGTAAGTTTTTTAGTTTAAAATTCCGTGATTAATTTCTAATTAAATCATTTACTTATTTTATGTGATGGACTTGCCACTTTTAAACTAAAAAAAGGGGTTAAACCAATTCAGCTTTTTATATAATATCAATGTTTAATCAGAATTTTAATCTTTAACCTAGGTAGGCTTCTGAATTTAACGACAACATACAGAATTACAGAATTTAATTGCCCGTTAAGGGCTTAGCAATTGATGGCATTTGTTGTTTAAACGAAATTGTTGTGAACCCAAAGTTCAAAATGAGAAATATTTAAATTAAGAAACGGAAACTTTTGATGTTTTAATATTAGAAATGTTAATTCTTATATGTAAGTGATTTATCTCATATCTATCACCAGACACTTTAAATATACTTGAATCAAACTTGGAATAATAAACATTTTTAAGAAGTAACTTTAAAAGTGAACAGTGGGCCTAATTCGTGAGATTGCAGTTAAAATGTAAATTTTACAATATGGCAGTTTATCTACACCCCACTCCCAGCGGTATTCGCATGCCCTCCTCGCACGGTCACACTGCGTGCCTATCGATAAGTCGGCCGAGAGTGTCTCACCCACAATAGGAAAACAAAAGAAAAGTGATTGCCTGCGCTCTTTTATCGCAGCGTTTTATTATCTAATGCCGCGATAAAGGCCCCAAGACGCCAAAATGCCTGGTAAGCGGTCGTGGGCACAGGTGGCATTCGCTTGGCGTGCCACGGGCCATTCAAGCAGATGACCTCGTCACCAGTCACTCAGTCAATGGGAATTGCTAGCAATGACGACCCCGACAAATCGATGGACGACTGGCCCGGAGTTGGGTGTCGTGTTCTAAAGAGGGGCCGGATGGGCGCCAGCGGAAGCCAACAGCCAGCGAGCGATGAGCCGTCCAATCACTCAAACAGCAAAACTATAGTCCACTAGAGCAATTATCGCGATAAGATTAAGCGGAAAATGGTGGTCGCACCCAGTCGACCCGAGTCGGTTTTCACACTTCGACCACCACCACCACCACCGCCAGTTCGAACACCATCATTTTCGCCGTAGCGTAGCGGTGGCGCCATGTTCACCTACCGCTGCATCCACGTCTGCCTGCCCAATCCCTCTAACCGCTGTGCTTTTCCCTACGCTCTTCTAGGCTGCTGCGGATGCTGCTCGGCGCTCAGGCCGCGCTACAAGCGCCTGGTGGACAACATCTTCCCGGTGAATCCGGAGGACGGACTGGTCAAGTCCAACATGGAGAAGCTGACCTTCTACTCGCTAAGCTCGCCGGACAAGCTGGACCGCATTGGCGAGTACCTGTACCAGAAGGCCACCAAGGACATAAATAGGAAGCGCTACAAGTGAGTTGTAGTACATAGCAGATAGTTGGCTAAGAAATCATCTAATTTGTGTTTATCCCCAGGCTGGCCGAGATCGCCATGGAGGCCATGGACCTGCTGCTGCAGGCCTGTCATGCCCAGACCACGCTCAATCTGTTTGTGGAGTCGTTCCTGCGCATGGTGCAAAAGTTGCTGGAGGACTCGAACCCCAACCTCAAGATAATGGCCACGAATTCGGTAAAATGCCACCCTAAATGACCCCAAAATAGGCTCTAATCGCGCCCCTTTTCTTCTAGTTTGTGAAGTTTGCCAACATCAACGAGGACACACCATCCTACCATCGACGGTATGACTTCTTCATCTCGAAGTTCTCCTCGATGTGCCACAGCGATGCGGCCAGCATGCGGGACAGTCTGCGTCTGGCGGGTATCAAGGGCTTGCAGGGCGTGATCCGGAAAACAGTGTCCGACGATCTGGTGGAGAACATCTGGGCGGCGGAGCACATGGAGAAGATTGTGCCCTCGCTGCTGTTCAATATGCAGGTGGGTGCCAATGTGGCTTTTCGTCCTCGCAAGCCGTTCGGAGATGGATACAGCCATCCATCCCAGTTGTTTAATCCATTGGCCTATTGTTGTACTAATTTCGATGTATTTTGCATTTCGTTTTCGTGTATTTTGTTAATGCAAACCAAACCCAAACCAACCACAACACAACCAACACACAACAACAACCAAACAGTTTTGTGTAAACGTTATGTTCGTGAAGAAAAATTTACTGGCGGTAATAATCGACTCGAATTGTTCCATTACATAATTAAGCATATTATTATACATAGTGAACGCTGATTAGTCACTAAGACCGTCTCGAGAGAATGTGATACTAATGTATTTTTTATTGCCGCAGTCCGGGGATCTCACGCCCGTGGAGGACGCCACCAATGTGACGCCGCCGGTGCTGGCCGAGGAGGTGCTCCGGGAGCTGGTGGGCCGAGCCTCCTTTGGACACATTCGCAGCGTACTCAAGCCGCTGCTGACGTAAGTAGTTAGTGCACGCGGAAGCATCGCCACCGGTTGCTTATCAGGGGTTTGCCTTCCTGATTTACAGCCACCTGGACCGACATGAACTGTGGGTGCCCAACACCTTTGCGATTCACACGTTCCGCATCGTGATGATCTCCATACAGCCGCAGTACTCGTACACCGTGGTGGAGACGCTGATGCAGCACCTGGACAACAACTTCAAGTCATCGCCCAAGACGCGCACCTCGCTGGCCGTCGTTCTGTCGAAGATCATCGCCATAGCAGCGGGCGAGAGTGTGGGTCCCTCGGCCCTGGACATCATCAACAACTTGCTGACCCATCTGCGGACCAGCGTGAGCACAACCAGCGAGATCACGCCCGAGGAGTCGCAGTACCAGGAGGCACTGATCAACGCGCTGGGCGAGTTCGCCAACCACCATCCCGACTATCAGAAGATCGAAATCATGCTGTTCATCATGAACACGGTGCCGGATCTGTCCAAGAAGAGCAAGGGCGATCAGATGCTGCAGAACATCCTGCTGAAGTCGCTGCTCAAGGTGGGCACCCAGTACAGCACCGTCTCCTTCGAGAAGGCCTTCCCCGCCTCCTTCCTGCAGCCGCTGCTCAAGATGGCACGCGCTCCACACGATCCCACACGCATGGTTGTGATGCAGATCTTGCAGGCGCTGCTCGATCGCCACCAGAACGAGCAGGTGCTCAGCAGCGTCAGCGTGAAACCCTACCCGGCGCTCTCCCAGGAGCCGCCCTCGCGCTCCGACATCATCTTCACGCACAAGCACGGCGCCCACATCATGCAGGCGCTGATCGATTCCATGGCGTTGTCAGATCGTGTTGACGCCCTGTCCTCCAGCTTCAACACCGCCGCCCTGCTTATCGTGGAGATGTCGTGCAACGAGACCGTGCAGGAGTTCCTTTTGTTTATCCTTGGGTAAGATTGCTTCGATGGTACTTTACGAATACGATTTACTAATCCATTGGTCTTCGCCTCCTGCATCTGCAGCATCCAGCAGGTGGCCAACACCGCAGACACCCTGGGAATAGTGCACAAGTGCAGCCTGCACGCCATCGCCATTGGCCTGTTGGTGCTCATCTCGCGGGTGAGCGGCATCAACAACCTGCTGGAGTACGCCCAAAAGATCGTTGACGCACGACGCGAGGAGGCCACCCACTATCTACCGCCGTTGCTGGAGCCCAAGAAGATGTCCGGAAAGAACTTAAATCTGTCGCTGCCGCATCTTGCCATTGACAAGTTGGCGCTGGGCGAGTGCCTGCAGAACGCGGGCATGGATGCGCAGCGCCTGAACACAGGTGCTCCGTATGCGCTCAACCAGACCGATCATCCCGGACACCGCCACTCCTGGGTGGAGTCGGTGAGCAATCAGCTGACGCAGCGCAACAGCTCGGCGGACCTGACCGTCTACAACGGCGATGGAGACAGCGTGAGCAGCTCGCCGGGCGTGTGCAAGAAGCTCCTGGCGCCGGAGTTCAATTTCGATGCCATGAAGCGGGCTCTGGCCGAGCCGACTGAAGCCATCAAGCGAGAGCAGCGCGAGCGCCAGATGCAGATCGTTCGCACCTTCCGCGAGGGCGAGTTCGACGATCTGATAAGACGCACAGAACCCAAGGTATGTGGTGTCATGAGATTCTGCTAGTATTCCTTTTATTTTACATTCAAACGAACCAATTTCACTTATATGAATACGGCTTTGGGCTTTATCATCATTTGAACGAAGGTCAGCGAGCCCTTGTTGCCCGCAAAAGAACCCCAATAAATTCCACCTGAGCTACCTTCTGGTATCTGTCCGTCCTTGTAGTAATTTCCATTGAGCATGCTATAATTAAATTTCAAAAGTTGCACATCGGTTGCTTTTATATTATATATATATATATATTATATATACCTTAATAAACAGCTTCTGTCTTCCCACCAACCACCAATAGGAGTACTTCCACACTGGTGACCCCGATCAAATGTGGAGAAACTATTTTCAGTAAGCTGTGTTAGATAGTCTCCTGCGGTTCCAGAATACTTGCCAACCGCGTTTAGCTTGTAGGATTCATTCGCGCTGCCAATACAAAAATCGTCATAATGAGCGTACCTAGAAATTCCATCAGCATTGCGAAGCTGTATGTAAAGTTCGTGGGGTTGTGCTTGGGTCATCAAGTAGAGCTTCTCGAGTCCAATGAAGAACTCTTGGCTTACATTGCCGAACCCATCCTTGTAGTCCATCCAGCCGCGAGTAAAGTTAACAGATCCGTCAAAGCGTCTTTGTATAACAGTCCATCCTGGTGTTGATGATATGCACGGCACTTCAAATGGGTCCACTCCACGTAGGCTTACATTGTAAATGCCATTCGGTCGTCCACTTGGGCAAAATTCTGGTAAATTCTCATCGCGTTTATTCAGATTCTTTAGCTGCTCATTTACTTCAGAGATTAAACTTATTTGATTTCTCAGGTCTTCAATTTGTTTGTCCTTTTCTATGATTTCTTTTTTCTTGTCATTTAGTTGTGTTTCAATATTGTTCAAATGCATGTCATTGAGATTCTCATAAAGTTTATTAAGAGTCTTGAGCTGTTCAATTACTTCAGAATTAGATTTTATTTGACTTTTCATTTCTTCAATTTTTTGGTCCTTTTCTATGATTTCTGCTTTGACATTGTTCAGTAAAATTTGATTATCGTTGCATAGTTTTGCATCTCTTAGATTTTTAACTAAGGGATCGATAAGGGGCTGAAAAGTCGCAAAACAATAAGCGTTGCACTGCTCATTGATGGTCGGCGATTTGGCAGTGCTCAATAGTCCTCCTTGCAGCAATATACAGAGGACTATTACCTCAAAAACGGACGCACTTAGTTTATACATTACTTTCACGCTGTCGTCTTAGAACTGTACTGATTATGAGTCGATGATATTTTTGATTTTTGGGTCTTGAGCGTGATAATGATTCTCATTTAAAAATGTATGTACATTTTTGTCGTTTGTTTTTCGGATTAAATATTTGATAGGCTAAAAAACCCATGATTCACGAATGCGACAATTCTTACGTTTTATAAAAAAAAATAAAGAACACTGGACAACACAGAAATATGAAATCTATATGGGCTAAAACTAAAGTAATTTTATCCCAATTGAAATTGTAATTTCGTGGTTTTTTTCCTATTTCCAGCACGATCTTATCCAGAACCGCCTGAACGAGCTATTTAACTCGCTGGCCGTGGAGCGTCAGATGACGCAGAGCGACACCAAGGCTGCCAGCTTGCAAGCTGGCAACGAGAAGCCCATCTACGAAACCAACTTTCCCGAACTCTTTTACTACTAAACACGTATTCCTCGATCCGGAAATACTTTCCGGCGAATATTCTATACTCAATTCACGTTTATCGATAGCCCTAATTGCGAATTTGTTTGGTGTCTGTAAGGAACTAGTTAAATTTAATTAAATTTTCCGTTGTTAAATGCAAACAATTCAATTGTTAAACCACCCTGGGATATGTACTTTGAATTAATTGTTATACAAATAAAATATATGTATACAAATATCTGTCATTTGTTTAATCAGATCTAATCAAAATTCTTGCCCGGAATGGGACGTTCTGAGAAAAAGTGTACGCGAAAGACAGCATCTGGCTGCCACGTCTCCAAGGCGACGTCGATCAGTGGGCATTCATTTCCCACCCGAATGAAGCACAATAATGATTACACTGGACGCAATCCCTTCATTCGGTTTCTGGCCCACTTCCGCAAATGCTACAATGAGAATCTCTGCCACTTGACCCCGGGGCAGGTTACTCTGATGGCCAGCAGGGTGTGGCAGTGCATGACATCGGCGGAGAGGGAACCCTTCATCGCTGCTGCCCGCATGTTCAGCTACACGTTTCGATCGCGGAGCAAGAAGGTCAATTGGGTGCTCCGGAAACTTCGGGAATCCGCTGCTGAACCAGAACATCAAGGTCGGGCGCAATGGATGATGATATACGGCATCAAGTTCTGGGAGCAAGGCGTGCTAAACGATCTTCTACACCACTAACAGCAATAGAAACTCAGTTTGGGGCCGTTTGAATTAGTTGCATTCTTTAATATAAATGATCACTCAAAGTAATTGTTACTTTAATTGTGCGTATTGAAGCGAGTAAAAAACGTGTTAGGGAAAGTAATTATATGCGTTGAACTTACAGGATTCGAAGACGCTTAAATCATTAATTTGTTGCAGCGTATCTTGTTACTTAAACATAACAATTTTAAAACTCCGAATTTATAAACTATATGCAACATATACATCTACATAGTGCGAGGGCACGAGAGCGTGCGTCTACTCCAAACAAGTAGATGACGTTAAGCATTGTTACATGATACTAATGATGTAAACGATATACAAAAATATTGATCTGCGCATATCGAAACGATCGCCGATATGCTCATGTTAAATGTACAAACGTCTGGATCAGTTCGATTGGCCGTAGCTAATCGCGATGGCGAAAAACGAATTTACAATTACAACTACAACGAGTCCCGGCCTCTGCGGGTAAATGAACAGAAAATGGTGGTAGTGGTGGTACTGGTAATGGTGTTCGTGTTCCTGTTGGTGGACTGCTTCGACGATGATCGTGCTCAGCACGCCAATTGGCCGTAGGCGCCATCCGTGTCACTAGCTGACCAAGCGATCCTTGGCCGTGGAGCTGGCGAGGATGGCGTCGAGGGTTCCGAGTCGCCTATGAAGACGGCCGAATCGTCGGCACTGGACGGAGTCAGCGGTCGCTCACAGTCCGCTCCGATCTCAGCAATGGGTATGGACAGCGAAGTCGTCCCCTCTTCGCTGAGCGGCACAATCTCCTTGAAACTCTGATTGGGCGGCATCACCACCAGCATGTTGATGGAGATAAGCAGTGGATGTACTAGCTTTGGATCCAGCACCATCAGCGGCACCTCCTCGTTCTTCTCGAGGCTAAGCGAGCAGATCTCGGACGTCTGGGTGAACACGGCCTGGCGCTGGGCATTTATCGAGGTCACCGTGGTGCGGACCATGAACTTGCTCTTTGTCTGCAGACTGAGCACACGCTCGTGCTCGTGCCGGTGGTGGCGACGAATGTGCAGTCTGCGCGAGTCCATTATCAGGATGAGATCCATGCCGTAGTTGAAGCCCGTCCAGCGCCACTTCTGGTAGCCAGGCTCGAGCAACATGCGCCCGCAGCGCATGCAATTCTCAAAGAACTGATCATTGTCCAGCTGCTGGGGACTGCTGTGAATGCAAAAATAAATAAAATAATACAATTTTCGTATGACTGCTTAATCCCGTTAAAAGACTCACCAATCCTCCTGCCCGTGATCGATTCGCAGTAGAGCATCCCAGTGGTTGTGGATGTGCCTGTAGAGCCACTCCTTGGGTATGATGTTGTCATTGTAGATGATCTTCAGATCCATGTAGTGGTTGGTCAGGTACTGGGTTCGTAGCTTCTGGAAGACCCTCACATAAGGCTGGCCCTCGGGCGTGGCCAGGAACGAGCGCTCCTCCATACGGCTGGTGAAGTATACCCACTGGACGACATCGCCGCTGGGCGTGTGCGTTTCAACGCCGGCATTGACCAGCCGCTCCTGCGTCTTCACCGCCTCAGCCCGCTGCACTGGGTCCTCTGGATCGTGGTCGGGATGCAGCCGCAGGAACATCCATGTCCGCAGCAGTGTGTACAGCGAGAACTCCGTCTGCATCACGTACAAATCTGGGCTGGCAGTCAGGGCGCTCATCAGTTCGATTGAGATGTGCCTCAGCAGGTTTGGCTGCTTGCTGTAGATGCTCAGCAGATTGATCTGGAACCACTGGAAGGTGGACTTCTTCACACCCACCACGCCGTACTGGCAGGCGGCCTCATAGTACTGAATGGCTGTCTCCGGACTAATGTTGTCGATCATCACCTCGGCACACTTGTCGATGATCCCGTCCAAGTGGAACAACGTGGCCGTGGCCAAGACCGAAATGACATCGGCCGACTCAATCTCAATCTCGTCAGAGTACATAGATCCAAAGACAGCATCCAGGCTGTCCACTGTGATGCGGTCGTCGAGAATCGCGATCTGAATGAAGTTCTGCTGCGCCTCCCGCCACGTCCCATTGAACATGGTGTAGAAGTAGGGGCTCTGGCTCAGATAGACCTTGTGCAGGTGCCAGACTTTATCCAGAGCCATGACAGCCACGTCCGAGTTCTTCTCCTCCTTGAAAAGGGCCTTGTATATGTACTGCGTGGTGGTAAGAAGCTTCTTTCTGCGGAAGGAGGAAATGTCAGGTATTGTTTGGTACTAGAACTTTGGTAATCACTCACTTTTTGGGCTGTGTGGTATCCAGCTGTGCCTGCTCATCCTTGCCCAACGAGGAGTCCGTGCTGCGCTTCCGTTTCCGCCGGTTGCCAAACACCTCGGCCACATTCATATGCATGGAGCCCACAATCTGACCCATGGCTCTAGGTTAAGGAATCTCCACTCTGAAACGAGCACAATTGTACACAAAAATTTGTTCACTTTGACTTTTCGTAGCCTGTTTATCGATCTGACAGGTTGCGTGTTGATAGTGCCCCCAAATGAAACCAGTTGACCCACTTTCGTTCCGCCAAACTGTAACGCCAGCAGCTGTAACGGTGAAGAAACCTTTCCCGGGTGGGCGAACATTCGTGTGGGTGACTTTTCAGGCCCTAAGCCCAATGGAAAGCGCATCCATTCATCAATTGTGGTGATGTCATCATACAGCTGAAGCGCGATACTTCACTTGTAATCAAATCCATTCGAGGAGGGTCGGAAAACTTGAAAAGCATTTCTAGATTGCAACTTATAAAAATTTAATGTTGATCTAGACAATTACAAGACTTAAATGCTCAAATAAGTTCTGTATTTAAACATCGCTGTTGGCGTTTCTTTTTGTGCAATCAAAATAAAGTGTTCAGATAATAATAATTTTTTCAGACTAAGAAGTAGTCATGTGAAATTCGATTTCTCGATAGATTAATAGATTAACTTGGATTTCAATATGTTGTGATATCTTGATATATATCAAAGTACAATAAAGTGTTGTTCTCAAAATTAAAATCCGAATAAGCTTCTTAATATATTTTTAATGCGTCTTATGAATGTCACAAAAATTTTGTTATAATTTTTACACCTTAATCATTTTATATTCAGCTGGAGTTGTAAGATTATAAAAGAGAAATGCTCAACAAATACTATCTAACAGATGACCAAATATACAAAAATTAAAAAAAAGATAAGTCCCAAGACATGTTCAAAGCAGCCTTAATGGCCTAATCCGCACTGTAGCCGCCACCATTTTCGGGTAAGGTCGAAAGGGGGGCTCTATAATTAGAATGAGATCAAACGAGCTCGATTCCATGTGCGTTTTTATGCTTTGTTTATGCGGCCAATTGCTGGAGCTGGACGACGAGTGTTGTAACCATGTCAAGGCCGCGACGGAAGCTACTACACATTGTTGCTGCTGCCCATAAACAAACAGGCACACGCTTTCGTCACCTCGCGTTGGATTGCATTGATATGGACGACCAGACAGTCAGGCTCGATAACACTCGGCCGATGATTATCTATTCAGAGCCATCTTAAAAATAATGATTGTGAGCCCAGATTGGGGTAAGGTGGTGGTGGTGGGTGTGGGGACCGTCAGCAGATGGCGGGTTTGTTTTGGTGTGGCGCAGTTCCGAAAACAAAAGTAAACTATTGAAAACCGGTTTCCTCGGAGTGTATTTCTTATAAGACCAAACCAAGACGGTTGCACCGCTTCACATTACGTCACCAGTTGAAGCCGGAGAGCAAAGAGAACTGGAGGTGCAGAGAGGAACAAATAAAAGGGGGTGGGACTAATGACCACCAAATACAGGCGAACTCCCAAGTTGCTATCTCCATTATTTCCAAGTCGTAGTTCAGCAATTACAAGGAAATTGTGTGGATATTTAAGGAAAGTAAGTATTGTTTGGGTCTACTAAAACAAATCTGAACCAAAAAGTCTTGTGAAAGAATTTGCATATAAAATTTCAGGCATGAACACAGAGACAAATGTTAGCTTTTGAATACTAAGATTATTGGTGAATGATTCTTACTGTAATTCTAATATTTGTAGAAACTCCATTAAAATCAAATTTTTATTGTAAAATTTAACATTTTCAAACTCTCTATACAAATAAAAACAAGTTTAAGTTCCACTAAAAAAACGAGTTCTTTGTTTTTGAGAAGTCAGTATTAATGCTTTAGGTTGTATTGTATGCGGAAGGAAAACTATGCATTTAAAGTTTCAAAAAAATATTAGGTATTCATTGACATGGAAGTTCCACTGTAGATAAATTTAAAAGATGATATCACACAAATAATGGTGTTTGCCTTTGAATTATAAACTTTTTCACATCCATAATGAAAAGTACAGGGCTTTAAATTGAAAAAAAAAATTAATTTTGCCCAAGGAGTTAACGGCTAAATAACGTGGGTGATCGTCGAAAGAAGCCAACAAGCATGGGCGGAGACTCGAACTCGCGTACGCATCTTGGAAGGGAATTTCACTCGCTTTAGACGACAGAGCCACCGCAGCTGGAAAATGGTGGACGGCCAAAATCCAACATATGTATCTACATGTTACTAACTAGACTGGGAACTTGTTTGGTAAACCAGCAGATAAGGCAAAGACCCCTCACTAATTTATGGATCGGTAATCAGCTGATGGGCATTGCAAAACGCATGTTTATTCGCACTATTTACTGATTGTTGTTTGGCCCTGATAACGCTAGAAGATATGAAAATCGAACCACCAAATCACTAACTCTTTCTCTCTTTTTATTTATCCCATTTTCCTGGCAGCGGAGTGCAGTTAATCTGCAGCTATAAATAGCAAACAAAAGTGAATTCGGTGGGTGACGTAGTTGGGAAAAGCAGAAAAGGGGGAGGGATGGATAACGAGGGTGTAGAGAGGGAGAGAGCGCGCTAGCGAACGACGCAAAACTGAAGGAAATGGAAGCAAGGTACACAAAGGGGGACTGATAAACGAAACTTACTGTAAATATGCAGTTACAGTTCCGCGATTTTATATAACTGCAATTGCACTTCACGTTCAACAGCTATGCTACAAAAAAATATAATAAACACGGACTAAAGTTTTACGCGATTGTGAGTAAGCGTGCGATTTAAATCATTTCAATCCCGTTCGCTGGCAAATTTATCTCTGTTTTGCTGCAGTTTGCTCTTAAAATTGGAGGTGGACAATTTTCGATAACACCTCATTCAAATTGCGCTTCTCGATAGTCGAATTCGGCGGACTGGTGCTAATACGTTTTAGGATGCGCGGTCACACTTCCCGCTTATTTTGAATTTAAGAGAACATCTCTATAGGGTGAGTTATATTTGTAGTTGACTGTTGATTGTAATAGTAATTCCAAAATCTGTCGGTGTCACAGAGAACCTGAGTTATTACTATTTAAAGCCTACTTCCTGCTTGGTTTTAAGTTGATTAGTAAAAACTGAAGATGTTTGCATAACACCGGTTAAAATTGGGTCTTATTAGATCTGAATGAAGTAATTTTTATGCAATATGGTTAAATATATTAAAATCCATTCACCAACAAAACAAGGTGTTCCAAATTTTGTAATCAATTATGGCCATACAAGACAGTTAACAAGTTTTCATAAATTTTAGAATTTGTATTATATTGTAGTATTACTTATTTATATAGTTAAGCAGACCATCGACCGCGTCGTTTTTTTTTATGGAATAGCAAATGTCTGGGATTTTGGCGGGAAAGGGTATTATTAAGTATAACCCTAAACTATTTTACGAGTTGATTGTAATTTAAAAAATTGTAATTGGCAACTCACGATCTTCTAGTTTATACAACATCACAAGCTTCGCGCGCATGAACGCAATCCGTGTTGCAAAATGCCCGCAGTTAGTGTGACCTTGTCGCGCGGTATTTTCCGGACTACCAAGAATAGTATGCTTGAGTTTTCTGTGCTGCGCAGCAGTTAAATAAAATAGAATACACCGCTGCTGCAGATAGAAATCGGAATTAATAACCAGTGCAAGTTGCATTGGCCCCAAATAGAAGGTACGGCGACAAAGTGAGGCAACAACAATGACCGATTTAGTGGTGTAAAAGGTCAAAGTGGCAGCCGTGAAAAGTGGCACAAAACAACAAATACACACGCATAAATACACACAACAAAAAACACCCACAATTACTGATTTTGTTTTGCACTTGTTATCGTTATCGCTTTCGTTTCGCATCTGTATTTTTCGCAGTCGCATTTTTGTGGGGCGTGCAATGTTTAGGATCCATTTGAAAATGGGTCCGCAACGCAACCACAGCAACAACAACAATGGTGCCGCAGGAAGTAGCAGCACCGGAAGTCGTCACCTGAAGGAGTTCACCTGCTGCTTCGGGCTGCATGTCCACACGGCCACTTTGATGATCGGATTGTGGCACCTGGTAAGTGAATTCCCGGACGCAGACACCCTTTGACCTTTTCAGCGGTATACTATACGCATATAAGTACCTACATACCCACATATGTACATATGTATCCAGAAACACCCACGCATGCAATCGGCGGATTGTGCGAAAATCTTTTGACCCTGTTCAGTGTCACGCAGGGGAAAAATCAATGACTCAATGACTGCCAAACTTTTGCGAAGCGAGCCAACTCTGCACTTTCCCCACCCGTGACGTCAATGGGACTGATTGGTCTGCTACTGCGTCAGCTGATCAAATTTGCCTATAAGCTGAAGGGGTTTTTTGTCATTACCTATTCCTGCCACGGCGGAAGTTTCCAAATCCCTCCTTCATTGTCCGAAAACTAACCTTTCACAAGCCCCTGTCTTCGCATAAGCAATTGCCACACTACGAGAAACAATGGTATTGAACGCACCAAATGGGGTACTGTAACGTATGGACAAACAAAGTAGCGTCTACATTTTAAAAGTATTTAATTAGGTTCATATAATTCGCTATTTACTCTGTAGTTAGAGCATAACTAAAGGTTTAATTATTTTGCCAACACTTTAAATACACAAAAAAAAATAAAAAACGTAGAATGTAAATACCTTTTGAAGGTCCATTCCTAGCCAGAAATTCTTATCATATTTTGGGAATAATCATTTTATTTGTACATTACTTAATCTTTTTTTTTAATAACCTTTATAAAAATGAGTCACTTTTGCATATGTTAACTGCATTTTTTTATCCGAAAAAAGCGGGCTGAATGTTAAATGTGAATACCTGATGAGAACGAATGATTAACTGATACATATACATATGTATCTCTACACATTTAAATAAAATCTTAATTGTTTACAACTATTTATATATACCAGTTGTAACATCAGAGTTTCTTTGGCTGTAAAAGTTGCTTTCGATTCTGATTGAGATTTCATAAAAAAAAAATCAACTAAAAGTATTTCTTGCAGTGCTCAATTCGTGTGTATCGCTTGTTCGTTCATTACTTTCATCATGCATTACCAATGCTCTGATACCTTGTGTTTATTACGCTCCAGGTCACGTTTGGCATCAGCAAACTCCATCACATGCGTTGCCTCAGTGCTTACGGTTTGGCCGGCACTGGAGTTATCTGCCTTAACTGTAATCTCAAGGGTTTCTTTGTTTACATTTTAAAGATAGGTATAGCGTTAGAGGCTTGGAAAAACAAAAGCAGTTCCACAAATCGAAGATTTATATGACTCATCCGCCGTATAACAATTGATTGTTGATAAGCCAATGGTTGCAGATAGGCTGCGGCTCACCGCGCATTAAATTTCATAGAGATGAATAATAAAACACGAAAGTTGGCGAAATGCCGCATCTAAGGTCGTGGCGTAAAGCCTTCAACTTGAGATACTTAGATACCGAATCGGACACTTAACAGCGGCCATCTGAGCAAACAGCAACCGGATACATACTTTCATGAGCGTTTCAGTTATTTTTGATAACTACACGTACCCATCCGACTGACGATGAGAAAATATTTACTCTTCAGGGGGCTTACTCTTGCTTTTCGGTATATTTACATCTTTCCTCTGGAGCAACATTGTTATGTGGGCTGCCATAAATCCGAGAATTGTTAATGCAGCTGTCATCTATCCGCACACAGGTTGCAAATCAAATCAAGCGAAGCTCCCTTATCTATTTTGGCCAGCTTATCATGATGAGCGGACACACACACACCTGCTAAACGCACTTGAAATACTTTTAGATGTTTGAGATATCTCTGAATTCCCCCCACTCGTGATCCTTGGGAATCGTTGCTTTGCTCTTGACGTTTCACAAATCATTCCGAACTTGTGGAGTATTTATTTCTGACGCACACACCTTTCCCCACATTGCTCATTTCCAATGAGAGCGCTTCCGGAGGAAACTGTCCGAGTGGTGAAGGCGTCTGCGAGATTCAAATGCAATGCCCCAAGCAGACGGCACAGATCCTGAAAACGATTCCAGTTACTCCGTTGATACCGATTCCCAGGAATCATCCACACCGCGCACCTATGCAATTAAAGAAGCGGAGGACGATGTTCCAGAGACTCTGTACAACAATCCAACTGCCAACAATCGTGCTACCTCCTCCGTGCTAAACATCCAGCCTGGCCCCTTCAACAAGCTTAACGAACGTACTCTGTCCTCATTGGGCTTCTCGTCAGCCAGTTCGATCAAGACACGGGAAATCCGCAAATCACTGGCGGAGAAATCCAATTTGTACCAGGAACTTGTACAACTTGTGCGGCGACGAGTCAAGCCCAATTCGATGATCAACATCGGAAAGAGCCAGCATCCTGTGCATCTAATGGTGCTTCAGAGCTTCTCGCGAACGTTTCGTGATGTCAGCAACGAGTTGATCGTGGATCTGGCCGAGGAGAAGGTGACGCCGCGCGCCTTCAGCCTAATCTACGACTGGATGATCGAAGACACACCGATTCTGCCGCGCCTCGGTTTGCTTGAGGTGTTCCAGGCTGCCAGTTTCTTGCAGATTCCGCAGCTGGTCAGTCAGTGCCAGTATTGTCTGGATAATGGCATCAAGGAGGCGTCTGCAGTGATGCTGTATTTGGAGGCTAGGATCCTGAAACTGGAGCAGAATTACCGTCATTTTCTCATGCGTATTTCCAAGTTCTTCCTCACGCTGGTGGCCTCCAAAGAGTTCCTGCGACTGCGGCTAAACGCCCTGCTCATGCTGATCACGTCAAGCGATATTGGTGTTAATACTGAGCTGGAGGTGTTCATGGCAGCCGTACGATGGCTAAATCACCAGTGGCCCCAGCGACAGGGAAACATAGTAGCAGTTGCCACCAGCATACGTTACGGTCTGATCCCGCCGTGGTTGCTCATCCGTTTGCAGAAGCCCGACATCACCGCTGTGGAGGTGAGGAGAATCGTAACGGAGTCAGAGGTGCGCCAAGCCATTCATGACGGCATCGCCTACACCACCACGCGACTCTTCTATGGAGCTGATCGCGAGGCCTTCAAAAATCACTTGCACAAGACTAGCGCCCAGCCGCCGAAACAGCGGATTTGGGTGTACGATCGGAAGTGTCGCTATCACCATCGCTTGCACTGCACGCTCACGCTGGACCTGACCTACGAAACGTTCGTGGAGTACCTAAACTATCTGCAGAATCAGAAACGGGACTATTGGCATTCCATGGAACCCGCGGAGGCCAGCAATGTGTGCTTCAGCTGCCAGGATTCGGTCAATGAATCGGTTATAAACCAATGACCTTTGACCTAAGATTTTGTTTGTAAAAATTGTGAAATATATCTTGATACTTATATCTTATATTTTAGGTATTGAAAAAATAATTTGGCCATGTAACTTTAAATGTGTGCTAGAAATTAAAACTTTTTTTTTTAAATATTGAAAACCAAAATCCATAAAATATCCCGTGTATTTCCAACTACCAGCTACTCATAACTCACTTTTTATTTGCAGTTCTTGAACATCTTGGCTTTGAGCGTCCTGGCAGTTATATGGCGCAATCCCGAGATGATGGACGAGCTGGAAGGCGGCACCCACGACTACACCGTGGATCTGAGTGCACCGGCCTTGCCCACGCCCCTGAGCAAGGTCGAACCACCCTACGCCTACCGCGACCACTCCTTCAACTATCGTAAGCGTTACCGTAAGCAGTGGAGAGAGCAAGTTCCGCAACGCATTTAAATTGATGTTTTCCCCCGCAGAGAACTTTGACATGGGCGGCTTGGTGTGCACCTGCATGATTGCCATCACGCTGATGATGATCTACGGCACCATCAAGGGGAAACCCTCGCACTTGTTGCCCTTCTTTTGTCTGCAGTTGTTTGACTTTGCCATTACCACGTGAGTGTTATAATCGGGGGAGTTCCATAAAGATCTCCCTTGTTTATATTCTTTAAGATTTGTATAGTAATGCATCGATCTTATTACAGTCTCACCGCCGCTGGATATCTATGCTACCTGCAGGCCATCCACAGCATCATTGCCGAGTCGCATCGCTTGCCATGGCGCGAGAAGCTGCTGGAACTGCCGCCTGAGGAGCTGGTTGTGGTGGTCCTGGTCGTCTTCATTTGCATTGTCTTTCTCAAGGCCTACTGCATTGGTATCGTTTGGCGCTGCTACAAGTACTTGACCCTGCGTCAGCAACATGTTCGCACCCTGTTCCCGTTCCTGGAGCCACCAACTGGAGTGCACAGCGTGGGCGGAACCTTTGGGGCCGAGGAGCGGTCCTACTCCACGCTGCTGCCCAACTACGACGAAGCCATTGCCCAGTACTTGAAGCAGGCACCGCCGCCTTCCTACCAGGTGGCCATGTCCAACTACGAGGAGGCCGAAGACGCAGCGGCTGAGGGGGCCGAGGTCAATCCCTCGGTGGCACCCTTGTTTGTGGCCCTTGGAGCAGCCACCACCGCCAACGCCGCCTCCAATACGGATGACAACATGGATAACAACAATGATCAGCCGAACAACAACAACACGATGCATGTGAACGCCAATACGCCGCCAATGCGTCGCAGCGATGCCGCTGTGAGCGCCAATGTCAATGAGCGGGAGGATGATGACGATGATGACGACGACTTGGAGGTGATCGACGCTGGCGTTGATGTTATCGGAGGCATTCCGCCTCCGCCGCCCTACAACGACGTGGCCGACGCCCAGGTGCAGGTGCCGTCGCACTCGCCGCTGCACCGCCAGCCCAACATCCCGGGACAGGTGCTCGACGGACGCGACGAGAGCCAGGCCTAAGTAGTTGGATTAGCAGTTTTGGATTAGTTTGCTTCTCATGGCGAGTGGGTTGTGATCAGCGGTGACCACCCCACCTCTCCACCTCTCCACCTCCTCCTCTTGCCCAGATGATCTGGTTTCATCTAACAGCTATCATTCCCAGGCACACATACACGGTCTATAAGGTCTATTGCTTCAATGTATTGATCAGTGTTTTTAGAGAATCGAAACCCAAACAAGTTTTCGCTTTTAGCCGTCGCTCATTATTGTTGTTTAACGTACAATTAAGATGCTCTAGTTGCTGCTCATTTAGTATACATAGCAAACAGACAAACAAGCAAGCAAGCAAGCAAAACCAAAAACAAAAACATTTTGCGATGCTGGCAAGGAAAGCTTCAATTCCTTTTCGGCCGCATCTGACCCAAACTTAGCTGCAACAATCTGTTAGATCGTTTTTCATTTGGCCCGAAATAGCCCGAGCATTTCGGATAGTCTGTAGGCCCAAGTAGTTGTTACCAGAGAGTGTCGCTGGCATAATAACGATGTTCTTTGTTTTTTTAAGCTATCTCGTAAGACTCTATGCATATTGAATACCGCGTACTGAATTCACAGCACAGGCATACATAATCCATAAATTATGATGATATTATCTATTGTATTTTACCATGGCGTATTAATACCAGCAACTGTAATGTTTTCTGTGTGTACAATATCTAAATGTATACTGTGTACTAAATATGCAGAGATATTCGAATAAAAATTAGTTTATATTTAATTTGTCATTCTTATTTGATTATTTATTTAGAGTTAATGGATTTGGTAAAACATAAAAGATGTCAGAGAGCCGAGCTATATAATATAATTTAGTTTTTTTCAAAAGATATATATCGTTTATGGAAACATCGAAAACTTGTTTAGCTTTGTTGAAAGTATCCTTATTTAAACTAATACTACTTTTCTATTTGTTCAAAATGAACAAAGATGGATCCCAACTAGAGTATTTGGCCACTAGAATATTTGGTTCAGTCGCATACTCCCTTTACTTAGTGTAAAGTGTATAGTCCTTATCTGGAAACTTCCGATGATTACCACATTAACAAGAATCCAAGTTAATCCCCTGCCTTGGTTACAATTTATTTATTGCGAGAAATAATCCCCCTGAGAAAAAAAATACCCGAGATTGTATTGATGTGTGCGATTGTATGCTCAAGCTTTTATTTGAATGATATTTTATATATTTTTATAAATGCCTTAGGCCTTCCAGTTGGACCAGGTGCGGATCTCGTTCCAGATGTTGGTGCCGGGGCACTCGGTGGAGCCCACCTGGCGATGTCCGTACAGGGTGTAGCCGGAGACGATCTGGCCGCGGGAGACGGCGGCGGAGAGCAGACTCTTGGCGGCGGTGATCTGGGCAGAGGTGAGAGTGTTGGTGTTGTAGTTGCCCAGGAAGGAGATGCCGATGGACTTGGAGTTCCAGTTGGTGGCGTGGGCACCCATCACGTTCCAGCCGCGACCCTCGTACACGTTGCCATCACCGCCGATCAGGAAGTTGTAGCCGATGTCAGACCAGCCCAGGGAGTCCATGTGGTAGTTCTGGATGTTCTTCAGTTGGGTGATGCAGGCGGCCTTGGTGGAGCAGTAGTTGCCGGCGGTGTGGTGGATAACGGCGTAGCTCAGGGAGCTGGCCAGCGTGGACTTGCTGGTGGGCGAGCGGGCACCCCACTCCGATTTGGAGATGATAGTCACGCCGAGAACGGCCTGGGCGCAGAAGAGCACGGCCAGAAGGACGAGAGCTTTGTTTGCCATGGTTGATGCGGATCGATTGTGTGGCCTGTCGTCCGATCGGACCTTATATACCACCGCCCGCCCAAGCTTATCGCCTGCGAACCGAAGCGAGGTTCGGGCTGTGATCCGGGTCGTGTGCTTCCATCCATCTGATACGGCGGCTATCTGGTGGCCAGATCCTGATACGGCGATGACGACGGCCCAATCACGCTCTAATCAGCCCAAGTGGCATTAATTAATTTGTCTAAGAGGTGGCAATATATTTTGGGCCCAAGACCTATCAAAGCATTGCGAATATCTGTCAAGACCAGAATTTCCTGTTTCGAAAGTACTTTAATTTTTTTTTTAAGTTTTTCCCAGACTTTCTTATATTACAGTTTTAATTATCTGATAAGTTCTCCAAAACGTTATGCCTTTTTTTGAGCAATCTCAGACTTTTCATAGTTCAACAAAGATCGTTTTAATAACATGAAAATATTTATTACTTGTATTTTCCAAAAATAACCCATAAATAAGAATGAAACATTCACAAAAGTTCAGTATTCAATAAAATTGTAACTTTTAAGCTATTTCCAGGTACCGTGTCAGAGCTTTTATTAAAAGTGATATAATTATGGGAGCTGAATATAAAATTCTAGTAAACTTTAATAGGTACAAAATTTGTGTAGACTTACATATTTTATAGAAATGGATAAGCTATGCCTGGATAATTTTCCATAAATTTTAAAATGAAAATCTAAATAAGGAGATGTCGTTTGACTATAACATTTTGTAAGCTTTCAAGCTCACAAGACAGCTTTACTCCTTCTTGACACCATTACATAAATTGCAGAAAGCCAGGTATTGTGTCGAAATAGTCTAAGTACATTGTAAATACAACAATTCTTTATGCTAAGTTTTATTTAATATTTTGAAGAAAATATGAGTTCATCATACTTCATACTTCATCATAGCACCCTGAAATTCGTTTTCATGTTGTTTTTATTTTTAATGGCTAAAAAGGCAGGCCAAAGCTTGCATTCCAAAAAGCATCATACGATTTTACCAAAAGCTCGTTTATAAATATTTTTCAATCAATTCTTGCTTCTCTTATCGCATTTGATATGATTTCGTTTTCACACTAAATTATAAGCGTTTTAAAAGTTATAATTGTATGTGGCTGATATGAATCAATGAAAGGCACGAACCAAAATATTATTATAGTATTGCCAATCAGAGGCGTACAAAAAATGGTCACTGAATAATATTGATTAGATTAGTAATCGTTGGCATCACCCCTCATATATACGCCCCTATTTCAGATACGATCTACATGATAACATGTCCCCAGTTCTTTTGGTCCCCGCGATGACGTAGATCCAGTCAGTTTATTGATAAAGCGCAAATGAACCATGCGACGAATCATAATTCACTTAAGAGTCAAAATCATTGTTACAAATTAAAGATAACATTTTTGCAATTTTGAGACTTTACAGATTACTACCATTTCAATTTATTTTTATATTATACAAATTAATAAGAACGATGCAGTCAGAAGTGGTATACATTTTAATTTAATATTATCCTTCCATTTTACACAAATAAAAAACTCAGTGAGTCAGAGATCAGCAAGTTGCAAGCAGGTTCTTTTAATTTAGATTTAAATACTTGAATAAAAATAGCCCTTCAACTTGTAACTTAAAAATTGACTAGTCATTGAACAATTGATAAAAAGTTTTTTCGCTATCAGCCACGAGTTCTAGCTGAGTCGTAGTAATTTTCATTGTTCCAGATGATCTCGTAAATCTTGATATAAAAACTGGTAATCACAAAAACAAAATTGCCGTAATAATCAGTGAGTCGGAGGACCTGCACCTGGACAGCAAGAAAAGTGGAACGGAACCACTTTGTCAATCCACTTTGTTCAACCATCTGAGAGCCGCCAAGTGCCCATTCCCCGTGGCAGGAAGGAGGTGAGCCCCGAAACTGAAAGCTTAAGCAAGTTATTAAGGACAAAAACAACTGAAACTCATTCAGAACTACTTTGTTAACGAGGATGTCGTTGATGAGACTGCGGTTCAAGTGGCGAATAGTTTGCTTTGGTCAGCGCCCGATTGTGAAGTTTCAAGTTGCTTTTGGCTGTATTTAATGTCGCAGTCCAGTTGTAAAAGTTAATTTTAATTTTTATGCAAGCATTTCGGATGAATTGGTTCATCCTCCAAAGAAATAGCCAAAAGTCTGTACAACCTAATGATATTTTACAAGTTTGGCAGGCACACATCCTCCAGCTTCTGTAAATTTGAAAAGTTTTTGCCAAAATGAAAGGAATGAGAACTTTGACAGCTCGAACGTGAGGGTTTGGCTGCAAAACGAAAATGGATAATGGAAACAGAAGTTTGAGAATGGATTTCCCTTTGCCTGTTATTTAAAAGGCTGTGCTCCAATCACCGATCAATCTCTGCCAGATCATCCAAAGAATAGAGTTCAGTTTGGATTATTTTCAAACAATTTTATTTGTGTTCCCAAGAACCAATCCTAACCAGACCAGTGGGACCAGCCGCGGATCTCGTTCCAGATGTGGGTGCCGGGGCACTCGGTGGCGCTGACCTGCCGATGGCCGTACAGGATGTAGCCGGAGCTGAGCTGGCCACGGTTGACCGCATCGTTGAGCAGCTGCTGGGCGGCGGAGATCATGTTCGGCTCCAGGGTGTCCCAGTTGTAGTTGCCCAGGAAGCTGATGCCGATGCTGTAGGGGTTCCACTCGGCGGCGTGGGCGCCCATGTTGTTCCAGCCACGACCCTCGTACACGTTGCCGTCTCCGCCGATCAGGAAGTTGTAGCCGATGTCGGGCCAGCCCAGGGAGTCCATGTGGTAGTTCTGGACGCCCTGCAGCACGGCGTTGCACTGGGCACGGGTCTCGCAGTAGGAGCCGGCGGTGTGGTGGATGATGGCGTAGCCCAGGTAGTTGCCCAGGCCCACGGTCCAGCTGGCGCGGCGACCACCCCACTCCGCCTTGGAGATGACGTAGACGCCCTGCGCCAGGTACTGGCTGCAGACCAGGACGGCGAGGAGGAGAGCCACTTTGGAAACCATGATTGCCAGCTTTAATAGTTGACGGGTGGTCGGATGGGGCGCTTATATAGCCAAGTGCGGTCAAAAATCGCACCTTATCGGGTCCCATTCAACTGATTTACAACGCTACTCCATGGACTTGCCCAGATTCGTATTGGGGGAAGCACCTTAGCGAGAGCTTCGTCACAATCTGCTGATTTTGATTTATATTTGTTCGATCGGTCATTCCGGTGAGTCCTTATCACGTCTAATGTTTGGGATAGCGCATAGTTTTCCATTTACAGTTGTGTGGTTTATTACGCACACGGAAAATAGAAGTCATTGTATACCAAGTCTTCAGTGGTATGCATACATTTAAGGGGAAACATGCAGAAAATTAAACTTGTGTCACAAGCTAAATATCATTGCATACTTTGCGGCACTTTTTAAAGGATTTCCAATCACTAGAGAATTCTGTCGTCTTTGAACTGAAATAAAAAATATATTCCTACGAATTAAAAGAAATATTTACCCTCTTCGTGAACCATGAATTCTTCAAAAATAATGTTGGACACCTACAGTGAGTACGGTGTTGTGTCAGTGAATTGGCGTGTTAAACTTATAATTCAACAGACCTCCTTAACCACACCAATTACTTGGAAAACGTAGGTATGATAAACGATGCAGTCACCACCATTTAAATACTATTTCGTGATTTAGATGAGCTGTTTGGCCGTGATGGATTTCCACTTTAGATATCGCTGTGAAATGGCCAGACGCATCGACCACTGCAGATTCATCACAAATTTCTTCAATTATTTTGTGATGATGTACTGCGCCTTCAAGATAGATAACAAATTAACTGAAGTTGCGGTGATGTTGCTGTTTGGCTTGATCTACTGCGTTTTCCTCTGCATCCTATACTTGGGCATCAACTACTAGTGAGTTTCGAAATAACACAAGACCAGGTGTGACTTTGTTAACATCCTTGCAGCTTCTTACCAACCCTGAAGATCGCTGCACTTAGGTTGCGGATAAACGAGTACATGGCGGGCGTGTTGCTGGTGGGCGTGGCCAACTCAACTCCCGATCTCCTGGTCAACTTATCGCCAGTCAGGCATGAGTCGTTGACCTTCAACATAGCCATGGCCAACGCCCTGACGATCATATGTCTGAGTGGCGGAATGGTGTGCTTCATTCGGCCCTTCAGGATGAATGGTCACAGTGTTTTCCGAGATCTCCTCTTTCTACTGTTCACAGTGGAACTGGTGCGGCTTTTTATTAAAATTAAATCTATAACGGCATTGCTAAAGGGTATTTGTGAGTAGTTAATATCAATATATATTGAAAAATACCTAAATATTTCGTTCCAGTGGTACTGTCTATTTATCCACTATATCTGTTAATTAATGTAGTCGATCTCTTCCTTCACCGTTTCACAATCAAACGTAAGTATTTATAGTTTTCAAGCCCGTTACTTGAACACTAGGTTACTTCAAAGTTTGGGCACAATCATGGTAAAAGCCAAGTTCAGGGTGGTATATGCTTATTTAGTTTGCATCTATCGATACTATTTTATTAATTTAATATTAAAAAAATTAAATTATTGAAGAAATTATAATTAATTATTTAAGAAATTAAAATTAAAAAAAAATCATCGACGTCCCTTAAGGTTTTTTCCAACAAAAGAGGACGCTTTCGACTTTATGGTTTACCACGCCAACAAAATTACTGAAGCCATCTACCGGGAGTAACGCGTACTTAAAAGTCGGAGATCTCGACTGTAGCATTCCTTTGAGTAAACTTTATAAATTTTGTAATTTTTAATTTTGTATTCTTATTCAATGAAGAGCTTCGAATGGAAATTGAAATTCTGAGACACTCTCCGTCCTCCCTGAAACATGATAACAGGTTAGCTGAAAAAATTCTTCTTCTAAATGATCTCGAGGAGGACGATGACATCCAGTTCCGTGAATCGAAAATATTTCGCCAAGGATCATTCCATGCCGGTTTCTTTGTGACACCCAAGCTTCTTATACGACATAGGCAAGTGGACGTGGAAGCAAACCGAACAATGCTATACAACAAGGCCAACCCGAAGAATCTCCTCCTGATTAACGAGTTTATCCATTCAATTAATCCCATTGACTCGGAAACTTGGTACCTGAACGGAAAATGGGGACGTTTTATATGTATCGCCAAGGCCCCAGTTAGTTTTATGCTCCAATTGTTAGTCCCATTCGTGGACTATCAGAAGGTTAAGCATGGTTGGAGCAAGTTGCTGAACTGCATACAAATAGTAATAAATCCTTTTGTGACCTTAACATTGGTTGAGAGTATGTATCGTAGAAGTTTTAACAATTGTTTTCGAACCAAGTTATCAATTTTGTATTTTCTTGCCCGCCATTTAGCAATACTTGATGACAAATACTACGATTGGTACACCCTTCTTCAATTTGATTTGGCGATGTGGTCTTTAATGGTAACGCTGCCCTTGGCCTTAGTCGTTTTTTGGCACTCACGCACTGACATTCCGCCGTTTTATCATTACGTAAGATCGCAGCCTTGTTAAAACCGCCTTTTAGCCACTATTTTCAACCTTAGGCTTTTTGCATGCTTACAATAGTTACCGTGATTATATTCTGTTGGATTTGTGCCTGGGAAATGGATGCGCTCATATCGATCATCGGCATTGTTTTCGATTTGTCTCCATCCTTTATGAGCATCACATTCAACACGGTGTCGGCGGCAATGGCAGACTTCATTTCCTACGAGCATCTCGCCCAGCATGGTTACGGAAAGATGGCTTTTGGCGCCGTTATTGGCGGTTCAGTCTTCAGTAAGCCTACTTATTTGATAATTCCATTTAAATCGCTGCTAGAGTTTTATTAGTCAATATTTAATTCAAAATTATTACATAATTTAGAGTTATAAATCTACTCTGTGCATAATAAATTGGGGGTATACCAAGTCGAATTTTATATATCCTTGCCGCTATTGCCAAAATTATATATTCTTTTATACAACTAAATTTAGATTTGTATGCGTTTAAAAAAAAAGGTATTTAAATAATTAAAATTAACTAGACATTTCATTAGAATTATTGTTTTGCAAATGTAATAAAATAATTTTAATAATCAAATTAAATATTTTTTTAGTAGCATTACTTTCTTGTTTTTATATCTAAACAACCAAAAACACTGACGTATATTAAGTTTCGAGCCCTGAACCTAATTAAAATCAAATTTGTTTGTCAGTAGTGTAGACAGTATGGTATTAACTCTATCAATATGATGATTCCTGAAATGTTTATTCCTCAAATTTGACTAGAAAATTCGAAGATCAGCAAATCGTTGTTCATCTTAAAGTCCGATTACTTGACTTTAGGATTGTTGTTCCGGACATCTATTAACGAGCCTTTCTTCCGCAGACATGGTTCTCAACGTAGGAATCGAGTTTGTGATGCAGAAAAAGGTCGACTCGCACGGACATGTGATATTGTTTGGAAACGAGGGCGAGACCATCTACATATTCCTCGTGCTGACCATCACAACCACCATGTGGTGGTGCCTGACCTTCAATTTTCTTGCCCGCCGATCCGCTGGTGTGTTTTTGTGGTGCATATTTATACTGTTCTTCGTTTATTCGACTGCAATTGAATTTGAATGGGTCCATGGTTTTGAGGACAACCCTCACATCAACCCAGTTGGTGAATAAAGACTGCTGTTGCGTTTCAGATAGAAAAACTATATGATTTCTATGCGTTCGATTTTATTGATTGGAGTACGAAGAAGGTTGAGGGCCTAGCCCGACCAGTGGGACCAGCCGCGGATCTCGTTCCAGATGTGGGTGCCGGGGCACTCGGTGGCGCTGACCTGGCGATGGCCGTACAGGATGTAGCCGGAGCTGAGCTGGCCACGGTTGACCGCATCGTTGAGCAGCTGCTGGGCGGCGGAGATCATGTTCGGCTCCAGGGTGTCCCAGTTGTAGTTGCCCAGGAAGCTGATGCCGATGCTGTAGGGGTTCCACTCGGCGGCGTGGGCGCCCATGTTGTTCCAGCCACGACCCTCGTACACGTTGCCGTCTCCGCCGATCAGGAAGTTGTAGCCGATGTCGGGCCAGCCCAGGGAGTCCATGTGGTAGTTCTGGACGCCCTGCAGCACGGCGTTGCACTGGGCACGGGTCTCGCAGTAGGAGCCGGCGGTGTGGTGGATGATGGCGTAGCCCAGGTAGTTGCCCAGGCCCACGGTCCAGCTGGCGCGGCGACCACCCCACTCCGCCTTGGAGATGACGTAGACGCCCTGGGCCAGGTACTGGCTGCAGACCAGGACGGCGAGGAGGAGAGCCACTTTGGAAACCATGATTGCCAGCTTTAATAGTTGACGATTGCTCGATGGTCGGGCGCTTATATAGCAGTCCGACTGTTCCCAAATGGCATCTTATCGAGCAGTTAATGGCTGATTTACGGCTCTGCTTGTGGGCACATGCTTTTAGATTCGTATTAGGGGAACACCCTCGGCGCCAACATCGTCACAATCTTCTGATGTTGATTTATTCAACATATTGTAAAGGGTCTTTTAAATAACTTCCTTATCAATTTGTTTGGCCCGACAGAATGGCTGGCAGAAAGCTGACTTCTAGAAATAATTCCAATCAAAAGGTGTGCCGTTCGATTTCTGTTAATATTAAATATTATTGTTCGCATATTGTGGAAGCTTGGAACTGGAAAATCCTAACAACAATGAGTGTGCGTACAAGAAGTCCTAGCCTGAACTTAACAGAACTTGACTATGAGTTTGATTACTTCTTAAAGAATGTAAGACTATGAAATATTTAAAAGTCTTGAGGCTTATATAGTACCTTTTGTTCTTAATTACAGATAAGCTGTAGGGCTGTGATGAGGACTCCCTATTCCTATCGTTGCAAGATGGCCACCCAAGCGGACGACTGCAAACGCATCATAAACTTCTTCAACTACTTCAGGATGATGTATTGTTCAATTGACATCGATAATAAAACGAAAGAGGTCCTGTTCATGTTCCTGTTTGTGTTCTTGAGTGTAGCCTTCCTGTGGATGATGTCCTTCAACATTGGTACCTAGTAAGTACATGCGTATATGTGACATGTTTTCCATCATCGTGATTGATAACCCACAGCTTTTCGCCCGTCTTAAAAATAATCTCGTTAAAGCTTCACATGAATGAGTACCTTGCAGGTGTAACACTACTGGCATTCGGAAACTGCAGTCCTGAAATAATTGCCAACCTAATGCCCGTTAGAGCCGATGCTCCGATCTTCACCATTGCAGTGGGAAATACCCTGGCCATTATACTTTTGAGTGGCGGTACGGTGTGTTTTTTAAGGCCCTTCAAAATGAACGCGCATTGCACTATGCGAGATCTTCTGTTCCTGCTGCTGGGTGTGGAGGTCCTCCGGTTTGTGATGATCAAGGAGGGAGCAGTGACCATTTGGGAAAGTATTGGTAAGTTCACAGCTCCAACGACGACTGATAGTCACTTGTAACTCAGACAATTCCTTAGTGCTTTTCTCTATTTACATATTGTATGTGGTCATCAACATAGCCGATGTGGTTTTAGTACGCTTTTACATCAGGAGTAAGTTATTTCTCTGTATGTTATGAGTAACTCAACCCATATACCCTCCAGAACTTCGAAGGGAAGTGGACTATTTAGGGAGTATAACTCCTCCACCGGAAAAGGAGCTAGCTTCAAAACTCCGGAAACTGACTATGTATGAGGAGGAGGATGACATTCGGATCAATGACACGACAATGTATCGTCGGTCGAGGGATTCAGGCCGCCACTTCTCAAATATGACGAGTACCGGCTACTTTGTCACTCCCAGACCGGCAGAACGACCCGAATCTGTGGACTACGGGGCCAATCGCACCAACCTTCACAATAGCGAAAATCCCAAAAATCTTCTACTCTTCACGGAGTTCTTCCAGTCCATTAATCCCATTGATGGGGATGCTTGGCAGTTGAGCGGCAGGTGCAATCGCATCTACCTCGTTGTCCGGTGCCCTCTGGTATTCGTACTGCTGCTATTTATTCCCGTGGTGGACTACGAAAAGGACAAGCACGGCTGGAGCAAGCTGCTCAACTGTACGCAGATTGTGACAAATCCGTTTGTTGTCATTACCCTGGTGCATTGTAGGTATGCTAGAGCAATGTACTCTTGAATACGATTTCTAACACCTGATGATCTTTAAGCTGCTGTGACCAGTGTGTACCACACCTGGTACATAACCCTCGACTTTAGCATCTCGATGTGGTCCCCGTGTCTTACCATCCCACTGGCGATTGTGATCTTCCTGCATTCTCGAACGGATGTGCCGCCATTCTATCACCAAGTAAGGACCATCACCCAACTCCATCGTAACCGCTGCTGATCGATGAAATTCGAATTGGTCTTACCGTTTCTTCTAGCTGTATATTGTCCTGACCTTTTCCAGTTCCATGGTGACCATCTGGATTACCGTCACAGAACTGGAAGTCCTCTCCGAAATTGTGGGCATAGTGTTTGATCTATCCGAGACCTTTATGGCTGTCACCTTTGAGGCCGTATCGAATGCCACTCCGGATATCATAGCCAATTCGCAGCTGGCCATGCAGGGTTACGGTCGGATGGCCTTTGCCGCCATTATTGGGGGTCCAGTTTTTGGTAAATATGAGGCCTGTTCTTAGTTAACATTCAGTGCCATAGTTAATTGTACTTTTCAGCGATTTTGATCAGCATGAGCGTGGCCTTCATGTTCAATCTCAGAGTTCGCGAGAAGGGCGCCAGTTTGTGGGTGTACGGCGATCAGGGCGAGAATTGCTACATTTTCCTGGTCATTACCATTGTGACCACGTTGTGGTGGTGCGTAACTTTCAACTTTTTCGCACGTCGATCTGCCGGAGTGTTCCTGTGGCTTATTTACTTATTGTTCCTCATATATGCCGTTTGTGTGGAGTGGGATGTTGTGCATGAGTTTTCTAGAGATCCATATTTTGAACCAATATGATTTGGTTTTTGATTTTATTTAGTTGAATTTCTAATCAATTTAAACAAATATGCCATTTTTTGTTTTTTTTTTTTTTGTATAATTTTGCAACTTTTTTCTTTCATTATGACTTTTACAGTTTATATTCAGCGGTTACATGTATATACACATAGCCGTTCCGTGAATTTACCTGGTTATAACCAGGCATCAGGCAGCCTTTTGCTTCTGCCGACGAACTGACTAATTAAGTTAATGAAGTATCATGATTAAAACATTGCCAAGGGAAATGCTTTCGAAAGGCGTCGTGAAAAGAGCAAAAGAACTGTCGACGGTCCATTGAAATGCAGCGAAGTAGACACTCTTGGCAGACTGTCCCATTCCAACGCTCCAGCTTCACTGCATTAAAAAAACGTATTGCATAATGAAGGCAAGCTGATGGTAACGACGGGGAAAGCTTCTCATTAATTAGGGTTAAAGTGACTGGAGGTTGGTGTCCTGTCAGCGTTCAAGGGGCGAGTGATTTGTGCGTCATTGATACTGGGGGGATTTCAGCTCAGACGACTGACTTTGTGGAAGAACTAAGGTAATCGACCAGCGAAAATACGACACTGACAACTGAATCAATGCAGTGCATTGGAGTGAAATGCATACTTATTGTATATTATTGTATTTGCAACGAAATATATTATTAATATGTTCTGTAATCAAATAAATATCTAATTATATTTAATTACTTATCAAAGTAAGCATAGTAAGATCATTAACAAATACTTTATTTTGGGTTGAAGTTGTAGTCACCATAATTTATTTTAGATGTATGTTCAATTTGTATTTTAAAAGCTTGCCCTTGGTTTTGGAGCCTTGCCACAATAGTTTTTTTTTCAGTGCACCACCTCATGCAGCATTATTATTGACTCCAGATGTAAATTTCACTTGATTCCGGCTATTATGGCAACTGCAGCTAAAACATAACCATTAGATTTAAGTACAATTGCATAAACAAGAAGTGCTGGCTCAAAAAGAGGGAAAAAGACGAAGCGGAAGCCAGCTAGCAGCTCCAACTTCTAAGGCAAATGCCACGCAAAATTCCGGCAGCAATAAAAGCACTCAGCTCCCTTAGACTTCCGTCTATCTGTCCATTTGTCCATCCGCCAGACCCTCTATCTGTGCACTTAATGTGACATGTTTTTGCAACAGCTTTGGTTTCTCCTTTCGCCACTCAAGTTTCCGATTCCCCATCCGGATGGGAGCTCCATGGCCATGAGATTTGATGCATTTTGCTTGTTACCAAATTGTTTTGCATTTTCCTCCACGTTTTTGCATAGACTAGCAGTCCCGAACTGAATGCAAAAACGAGAGGAAGCAGACTCTTCTTTCTGTGCAATTGGCTTGGTCTTGGCATGATTCGGTGTGAAAGTCATCAAATATTTAAAGCACAAGTGCGGAATCGCATCGAGATTGTCCGTGATTGTTTTTGCAAGAAGGGAAATTGATTTCGAATGATGTATCTTTGAAATAAGTTTCAAGAGTATTTAAGGAAATTTAATTCCAAAGCATTCTTTTTTTCTTTAAAAAGCTCTTTGGCATCAGTAGATCTTGTTAATGTTTTTCAAAATATTAAATTCGACCGACAAGCCTCTGTTTGCGTGTTCTTTCACTATCGCTCATGAATGAATTTATTTATACTGCGGGGCCCTCTTATCAACACTGACTTTTTTATTGATAGTAATAAATTTTATAGTACTTTAGAAAATAAGAATATTTGAAAAGTCATTCTGGACACGTTTGCGGGTTTCTTCCTTCTTCATTTTTGTCATGCTGATTTTAGCAACTAAAATGTGTGCAACTTTAACAGCACATCTTTATTATGGGTCAAAATATTCTTTAATTTTTGTAAGATGCCTATTTAAACTGTTGCCAACTATTTATAAAATCCTAAAGAAACCATAAAGACCTCATCGATTTTCTTAATAAACCAAAAATAATATAAGAAGATACCAAACATATTTCACGTTGCACATTGCAACCAGCTATTTCCGCAGTAAAACTTTGCGCTGCAGTTGTCAGCTGTTAAATGGAAAATATTTCAGACCAGCCAGGGCGACATTTATTTATGGGGCGAGGCAAGTATACACCATATTAAATAACTTGGAAGAGAAGATTTATGCCTGGAGACTGTTTGCAGTTCTGGGCGCCGCTAATACTGCTAGCCATAAATTGCCGCTTTGCATTATAACTCAATTAGCCAGTGAATAGGTTGCGTATACGCCAGGTTGTCCAGCGGTAACAGTAACAGTTACATTTACAGCTGCACTCGTGAATTATGCAAGCCCTAATTAACGTCAGGCGACAAGAGAATCCCAGTTTCTGTCTGTTGTAGCTGCCATTGTAGGTCACCATCCAACCAGGCCTCCAAATCCTCTGAGCTTGCCTCTGTGCACTTGTTGTAGGCTAATGAATCGGCTGCCCGGAGTCTTGCCTTCATGTCTGCGGCTTGCCGGCAATTAGCGTCGGCTCACATTTGACTTAACCACCTTGTCATCGCAGAGGTGTGAAGAGAAGTAGAACGGTAGCCAACGGTGCGTATGCGTAATCCTAGTGCTCCATTGCTTCACTTAGGCAGATAATAGCTGTTTGAACAATAATTTAAAATTTTAATATCAATATGTTGTGACGATGCCCACCAAGAGGATGTGCATAGAAGACTACTATACATACTACTATATATAGACGCAGAATTGAAAATCTGATGTTGATGGTCGGATCGGAATGAGTAATACACCAGTCGTAAGGTATCGCTTGGGCGTTGAAAGTGACATACTAACAGTTTGTTTAAGTGGAGTTCTTGAGCCGGGTTGATAAAATTTTTTAGCACAGTTCAAATTTTGTTGAAAATACGCGTCGAGTGACAACCAATTAGCTTGGATCCGATGCTCGCACTGCTCTAACTACAGACAAGTTATATATGACAGTAGAAAAGTATTGTCAAAAGCTAGTCACGCTGTCTTTACATAACTAATCTAAATAAAATACTTTAAAAAGTATTTAATTTTTTTTTTACTTTTTTTGCAAATTATTAAAAACTGTTACTAATATTGCTCCAATTTTAATAATATTAAAACCGTATTTTGGAAAGGAAATGTTAGTTGGTGTAGCAAAACACATTTTTTTTGGTGTATCTGTTGGGACATCTGATCTGATAAACGTCTTAGAGGCTTTTTACCACTTAAAAGGGTCACATTGACACCTAATTAGGGGCATATTGTTGCGATTTTTTGATCGGCTTATATAAATGGAAAAAACATTCATAGCAATAGTGTAACGATTTTAAGCTATGTTAAAATATATTTTTCTGAGGTCATATTTATTTTAAAAATGGAATGTTGAGTAACTGGTGCCTAATAATATTAAGGTCACAAAAACAAAAAAGTCCTTAAATCCGTTTTGATTACCTATACCATTCGTCCCCGATCGTTCGAAAACAATAAATTTAGTTTTGACACAAAAACCGAATTTTGAAAAACGCTTTAAAAAATTTATTTATGTCCAAATTTCTAATTTTTTTGTAATCATTTTTTTCAGAAACTTAAAAATCTGAAAAAATTTTAACTGTGAATGAAATTTGATTGGAAATTTTATTACGAATTCAACGGTGTATGACATTCCACATTTTGACCATTATTTCCCAGGTTTTTGAATCAAAAACCTAGTTTTTAATGTGTTTTTTTTGGGATTTTTGGAGATTTTTCAAACAAAATAATTTCTGAAGAGTCTTTTTGTTGTAACTTTGCTAAAATAAGACCCAAAGTCAAAAGAGTTGCTATTTTGAACAGCTTGCAACCTATACCATCCGTCCCAGATCGACTTAAAACAATTAATTAACAATTAATTAACAATTAAAACAATTAATTGACACAAAAACAGAATTTTGAAAAACATTTTTCAAAAAAAATATTTTCGTCCAAATTTCATAGTTTTTTTTAAGGGAAGTGAATTCATTTAGCTCTCAAACCTCAACTTAAGCCGCTCGAAAGTCCTCTTCACAACCGGAGTCGCCGGCTTAAACTGCACATTAATCTTGAACTTTTACCTGTCCCGCCATAAATTTCCATTTTCCATCTCCAATGCCACGCTCAATTTGGCTTAAACGCCTGACAATTTGGTTGAGTAATTGCTACAATTCTTTGGCAATAAAGGCTTGGTTAGGAAACTAGGAAATCAATTTGAGTACAATTTATACGGTTCAAATTTTATTTTCCTTTTCACCAGTTCCCAAATGAAATTCTATATCCACCACCACAGAAGGAACCTTGAAAAAATTCACGTTTTAAAAATTCCAACTATCTTGAAGATGGATCATTAACGATGCCAACAATAAAAAAAAATATTCTTAAATAAAATAAGTATGAAAATAATCAGTTTTGAGTAATATTCTGAATTAATTCTGGAGGATTTTGTAGGATCTGTAGATAATGATAATAGTTTCGTTTGTTATTTCATTGAACTGAAAAATTGGCAAATACACGATAATTTGAGCACCTAATTGCTGGAGATTTCTGTCGACATGTGACATTTCCCATTCGACTCATAACACCAGCAGAACTCTAAAATTGTCACGAACGTAAGGCTAGATATATAATGTAAAAAAGAGCCGACTTCAACTGGCATCCGCTTGTTGCTTCGCTCTTTGGCATTGAATGGCAAAGGACTTCTGTGCAAAATGGTCAGTAAGCTGCCTGAGCAGTCCGCCCATCTAGTCAAGCTCGCTCCGTCCAACCAGGTGGCCGTGGTCACCAATCTTCAGAGACCCCGCTCGATCCCCCGCCGCCGGCCGCTCATCGCGTTCATCGTGTTCTCCGGCGAACTGGGCACCTACATTAGAGGCCAGCTGGACCGCCTGGTGGCAAAGGTCTGTTCCCTGTTTCGCTCCTATCTGGGGATCACCTACCAGGATGTGGCCCTGTCCCCGGACATGGCCCAAAGGCTGGCCGCGGTGGGCCGGAAGACCTTGGTCCTGGACCTGGACGAGACTCTGGTGCACTCCTGCTACAGCGATTCGGAGCTCCACGAAAGCGGCAGCTGCAACCAGTTGCCCGCAGACGCGCAGCCCGATTACTTGCTCAGCGTTTCGATCGATGGCCTCGAACCGATCGAATTCCGGGTCTTCAAGCGACCACATGTGGACGTCTTTCTGGACTTTGTGTCCAAGTGGTATGACCTGGTGATCTACACGGCCAGCCTGGAGGTGTACGCCGCACAGGTGGTGGATCTGCTGGACGCAGGACGTGGCATGATGCCGCGACGCTTCTACCGGCAGCACTGTCGCTCTTCCGCCTCAACTGTGTCCAAGGACCTGACCCTGGTCAGTCAGAACATGGGCGGCACCTTTATCATCGACAACTCGCCGTATGCGTACCGCGATTTTCCGGACAATGCCGTGCCCATCAAGACCTTCATCTACGATCCCAACGACACGGAGCTGCTGAAGCTGCTGCCCTTCCTCGATGCCCTGCGCTTTACCAAGGACGTGCGATCGATTCTCGGCCGGCGTATTGTCCACTAGAACTTCGCCTGAGTAAAGGCCAATTAACTGAGCCAAATCGCGAAAGTAAAATATGACTGGAAGCCAAGCTTAGTAAGAAATGTCTTAAAATAAATCAACCATTAATAAAGTTTGCACTTTATTTTGATATAATATTACACTCGTTACTGGTTGAGTAAATGGGTATATTGCATTTTCTGAAAAGTATGCAACAGGTAGAAGAAAGCTGTTATTACCCTATAAGGCAATAAAATATTTTTAATCAAGATCAACCTCGGAAACTTCAAAAGCTTAAGACTTGGGCTTTATCTAAAAATAATAATTTATAAGCTAGAACTTTTACAAAGTAATATAAGTTTGAAATTACATCTTAACAAATGTGGATGTCTTTCATTTAGACAATTCTAACACAATTATTTTTAGGTACCCTATTAAAGCAATGCCACGAAATTAGTAAATAAATAAAATGTTTTTCCTGTAAAATATATGTTCTTTCGTTTAGATTATTTAAGTTATTTAAGAGAACAACTTCTCTTAGTTAGATTACAAATATTTTGGTTTGCATTTAAAAGGGCAACCAAACACTACAACCAAGGTTGTGTATTTATATTAAAAACTCTATGCCTTTTGCGGTCCATGCTAATTGCAGGCCCTTTATCCTTTAATCAACCCAAGCCATTTGGGACACTGCCATGGGAAGCAGGAGCATATGGACTCACCTCGGCACAGATGCATTTTATTGCTCATACGCAAGGTGGCCCTGCTCTGTTTTTTTTAGACTTCCCATGTGTGTGAGCAGAAGTTCGGGGAATGCCAGCTGCATGCAAATGCAGCAGCGTAATGATGTTGCGGCTTTTTGACTTTACACGGCCACCGAAAAAGCCACAGCGCTGAGCCACCTGATGCCATCCTGCCATGCCGGAAAGTTGCAAAAGTTTAAATTGAATTCTTAATTATTGCGCACACGAGGCGGCAATTTTAATGCACACATTTTTGGGGCATGGCAGACCAAAATGTTTAGATAATAATTCAGTTTTCCTGCACATTGTCAAATGCGCACCAGCTACGAAGAGAGTAACTTGATAATTTTATTTTTCCCATTTTTTTTTTGGGGGATTAAAGAGATTCATGCTGGCCCCAGCTGATTTATGTGAATTTGTGCCCGGCAAATTTTGATTTGTAGCTCCATAAAATGTTTCAGCTGGCGAACGAGTAGAACGAGCCGAATTCCATGACACAGTAGCTACGGCAGGCATGGTTATTGAAATCCAGCAGATAACTTGGCGCAGGAGCAGCCAACGGTGCGTATGAGCAATCAGTCAGCCAGTCAGTGAGTCAGTTAGCTACCGATATCAGAATTTTTATGCTTCGCCTAGTGTGAATTTTCCGTAGGTCCGAAGCTTACTTTAAAATGATTTTTAAAGCGCATCTTTAAGTGTGTAAAATGACAAAAATTAAACGTTAAACGGATTTTGGTTAATCTGTCAAATTAAGCAATTTAATGAGTAATGTTTTCTTTCAGTGATAGAGTATTTTAGTTTTATGTTTTTTATATCTTTTTCTATTCGGCGGTCTCTCTTGTCGTGAGGTTTTAATCAGTTTTGCCCTCCCTTAGGTCTTCTTGTTTGTCTTGTTTAATTTCGTTTTTAGCCCCAAAATGGGATAGCTTGCAAATTGAGAAAAAGTAGCTCACCAATTATCTCTTTGCATTGCAAATGAAGCTGTGCAGCTTTTAAGCTACTGTTAAAATAAATAATCCAAAGCAGCAGGTCGTCAACTATATATATAGTCCATTCTAATTGACTCTGAGTCACTGGAAATGTTTGATTGTTCGTTGTGGATGTTTTCAGTTTGTTCTAGGCCAATTAACAATGCAAATTGATATACCGAAGCAGCAGAGTCAAAAAAAGAAGCCGGTAAGGAAGTGAATTCATTTAGCTTCCAAACCTCAACTTAAGCCGCTTAAAAGTCCTCTTTGCAATCAGAATCGGCGGCTTAAGCTGCACATTAATCTTGCATTGAATGGCAGAAGAACCTATCACCTGTTCCGCCATAAATTTCTACGTTACAACTCGAACGCCACACTCAATTTGGCTTAAACGCCGGAGCATTCAATGAAAACGAATCCGGGGCGACTAGGAATATAGCAAGTTGGTTAAGTAATTGCTCGCAATTCTTTGGCAATGAAGGCTTTGGATTGTGAGGGCAAAGCCAATAAAAATTACAAAATCAATTTGGGTATCCAAATTACTTTGCTAGGAAAAAAAACAAGCCATTGTGATATAAATTTTGTAATAAAATAAATAAGAAACTAACAAGAAAGTCATCACATTTAGGAACTATTTAATTATGATTTTTTCTTAAAAAATAAGTTTTAAGACTTGAAATTGAAGTATTATATATAGAAGGTGGATTATTGCAGATGGCCGCCAATTTCAAATGTTTTGACATTTGTGGCAAGTGCACAAGCCATCGAGCGATATACCAAGAACATTGTTCTTAATCTGAGAATAGTCGTTCTTAAAAACCGTGTAAGCACGAATGTTCTCATTTTAAGAACATTTTTGTATTGAATTAGTAACTAAGCAGATTTGTCTTGAGAACATGTTGGTATTGAATTAGTAACTAAAGGGGTTTATTTCGAGAACATGTTGGTATGGAAGTTGTTTTCTGCGGCCATATTTTTTCGTCCCCTGAAAAACAAGCCTTTTTTCCCTTATGCATCTGATACAATTATCCTGTGGAATGCTAATAACTTGATCGATGCGCTTAAGATGTTCTTCGCTGGTAGGTGCTGAGATGATAATGTCATCTGAAAAGTTGTACCATTGCATTGGACAATTCAAGCTTTGAGGGAAAACATTCGTGCTGGTAAATGGCAGTAAATGTTCTCAAAAAATATTAATTTTTTCTTTATTTATATTTTCGCGGTCGAAATAGTAGTAAAGTTTCATATAAACAATCTAAGCGTTTAATTTGAGATTTGGTTTAAGCAAGGGACACAGAGAACCCGATCTTGGCAATCTGCTCATCGATCCAGTTCCTCAGATAGGCCACATTCGCGTAGGCCGCGGGCACATCCTTAACGGCGCAATCGATGCCCCAGGACACGATGCCCACCAGCTGGTATCGATCCCGTTCGCCGGGCATCGTGCAGAACAAGGGTGAACCGCCGTCACCCCTGCAGGTGTCCTTGCCCTCCACCCCGCCGGCACAAAGGAAGCTCGCATGGAAACGGTAGCGACGCCCCAGGACCGTGCGACGTAACAAGCGCTGGCAGGTCTCGTGGTCCAGCACGGGCAGCTCGATGCGCTTCAGCAGGTGCTCCAAGGTGGGGGACGTGTTGTTTTTGTGCCCCCAGCCGGTGGCCAAACAGTGGGCATTCTGCAGCTGCTCCTGCAACTTAGGCGTCTCCGCCGGCGGCAGACAGATGGGCTGGATGTGCGGCGCCAGCTTGAACGGCCGCTCCAGTACCACCAAAGCTATGTCGTTGTAGAGGGTCAGGCTGCTGAAGTCCTCGTGGCGATGCAACTCCTTAATCGCACGCATCTGGTAGGGATGCAGCTCCGTCTGGCTGTTCAAATCCCAGTCACCAGCCCGAACCAGCAGCGACTCCTCACTGTACTGGGCCATGTTGTGGGCACTGGTCAGCACCAGTTGCGGGTGGATCAGGGTACCGCCGCAGATGTAGTTCCCCACCATGTCCATCAATGCCACTATCCAAGGGAACTCGGCAAAGGAGGACTCGCCGTCGTTGTAGCCGTCCAGCTGGTAAATTAATCCCTTGGGATTGCTGTACCCACAGCCCTTGGACTGGAAGTCCTCCACGTCGAGCTGTATAAGATTATGACCCTCCTCGATCTGAAATGAGGGATAAGTATAAAAACTTAATTAATTCGAAAAGCCAACATTTAAAACAAAATCGTTAACCCAATTGAAGAGCAATTTCTTTCTTTTTTTTCAAGACCTGGTAAACATTCTTTCTAACCAAATAAAAATATCTAAGGAAGCCACAATCTTTAGAATAAACAATCATAAGATTACAACAAGATTAAAGAAATTTGGGAAATTCCTTTTTGATTAACCAATAAAAATACTTCTTCATTTAAGGATGAGTTCCGATTTTTACTATTTTTTTAATTGAGCAAGAAATAAAGTAAAAAAAAAATACCCAACCCTAAATTATCTGCGCTCGTAAATCGGACTTGACTGGCGAACTGACCTCACTAGTAGAAAGTAAATCAAGAAATCTTATATACTAAACATAAAATGGGCTTGGTTTATATATTAATACCTTATATATATTTATTTAAAAAACACATTGACATTGATTGCTTTAATGCTTTAAATGCTTTAATACCAACAAAAGAATTAGTTGAGTTTTTAACAGGAAATTATATGTGTGTTCGCTATAACGTATAGAGTGTGGTTGATCTTGTTATGATTATTCTCTGCTTTGTTTTTGTTTACCTGATCGTCCAGCGAACAGCACTGCTCTAAGAGTCCACATCCGAAACTGATGTCCTTACTGATTCGCGGCGTGACGATGTACCTGCCATCTGCATTAATCGATCCGTTTTTGCAGAGGTGGCGGGGAACACATTCCTGCTGGAATCCGCAGCTTTTGTAGACCTCATCGTCCTTTTTGACCGGCAGGAGTGTCTCATTTAATAAGGCTTCTAGGGGGTTTTCCGAAAAGCTCCAGGGATTTCCCCGGCGCTGACTGTTCTGTTCCACTTGAGCCTGATGGGCGTAGAAGCTCTCCAGCTGCACCTTCTCGCAGCAGACCAACTCAAGGCCGCAGCTGTTGTCCAGTATGCGACGGACCAGCTTCCCCTTCCCGGAGTCATCCGTCTCATCGCATGTCTTCTTGCTAATGCAGATCTCGTGGCTCTCACAGGTGCGAACCGAAAAACCCACCGATATGAGCGAAATCAGCAACAAACCGGCCACCAACACTAGCTCCACTTGCATGGCGATGACTGGAGTGGGAAAAAACCGCACTCATTCAAAGCGTTTATACGGCAAAAGCGGAGCCAAACAAGAAGCAGCACACAATCGGCGAGAAATCAGAACAATTCCGACTCACCGCTTCAAGATTCAAGCGGATCAATGCGCAATTTATTTTGAAATACTTTCGAGGGCCGCGGCACGTTTTCAACTGACTCTGCTCTCGCAACGATCGGCCGTATTATGGGATCGAGAATCTCTATCTCTGCTCTCCGGAGATTATTTAAAATGCCTAATTGCTCCCATTATCACGTTTTTTTCTCACTGAATTTCATTTTTCAGTTCTCTTCCGATCGCCGCCTTTTAGAATCTCCCAAGCCGGTTCTATAAATGTTTCGTAATTTAACTATTGCTATTCAGTTGACTTCGGAAATTACAACCTTTAAGATTGACTTCTGCACATAGTATTCTCTTTAAACTAATAGGTACGTGTGTAATACAATTATTTACTCGTAGATATTTTGATATTAGTTAGATTACCAGTTTTCAAAAATCTATTTTAAAATATCATTTCTTATTTTTCTTATTCCTTATTCTCGAATGGTTTGAGTGACAAAGAAGTTTTACTAAACTTTGTAAGAACTCATGGCGAGTATTCTATTTAGGTATTACGCATTACATAAGTAAAAGTGCCAAGAATTAGGTTTATAAACATATTAGTTTATTTATATTTTAAGATCAAATATAAGACTCAAAAGTTACCTTGTGTATGACTATATGTGTCTTTTGTAAAGTGGATTGTAAAAGACAATTCTTCTTTATCTTCAAAAAAAAAAAAACATAAAAAATTAAATAAAAAAAAACTCGGCTCATTTCTCCTCAATTTTCTAAAAAGCAATGAGAAGCCAATGCAGCTGGATGATCGCAGCGATGTTCCTCTTGCTGACTCCTCATCTGGGTACGATGGCCACCGGACCAGGTGACGGGGAAGACTCTACTTCCTCGATAATCAATCCCCAGGAATACAACAGCTGCGGCTTTAATATGGAGTGTGTGCCGAGGAGGCTATGCCGCAACGACATAGTAGATGACCGCGGATTCACGCTGATTAGTCCCAGAATCGGAGATTTTCAGGACTGCAATTACCCGTTCCGTTGTTGTTCTGTGGACAAGACAGTAAGCTGGGCAATATTTTATTTCCAATGTAATATAGTAAATTATATTTTTAGACGGAGGCATTGCTTCGATAAACGTTGAGTGTTGCTAAGTTCCAGAAGCCAATGCTCTTTTCCCCTGACTCTTCTTACTCTGAAAATTTCCCTCTGTTGTCTTCATTTTTGATGTAAATAAAATGAATTAGCTTGAATTAGAGTTGGTCCCGTAGCTTTTACTTCCTATAAGCCAGTATAGTCGGGGAATTCCTTGCATTGCGATGGCAGAGACGTATTCACGTATTTCTCTCTTTGTGTTAAGCTCTCTTGGGCAATTCCGAGATATGACGATCGGGCGTCTCTGAATCTCCCAAGCCGGTTCTATAAATGTTTTCAACTCAACTTCTAACCGTTCAGTCGATTTTCTGAATCAGAAGCTACGAAATTGTCTTTCGATCGCTGACTTCTGTATACACATTAATCTCCATACCACATATAGGTACATATATATAAATAATGCGACTATATAGCGCATACATAAGTGCATAATATTATAAATCGTGTAGGCGAAAGCTGATAATAAATAGTGTTTCAATGAAAAACTATTGATTTGCATTCCATTGTACATAAAAACAGTTGCAGTTCCGCTTGAAAAGTGTTTGTGAAAAGTAGCAACTAAAAGGCAATTAATATAAACTGCCGTAGTGTAATGTCATTGTAATACGCCTAGTGAATTAAATTAAGTAAGATAAAAAAACGTGTTGCATTGCGTTTTTACATACGCAAAAAAATATGAGTGTGGGGTGTTTTTAAAAGTGTTTGCGAAAACTTACAATAAGAAATAATTTATAAATTATTAATTATTTAGAGAAAGCTGCCCGAAATAAGGTTATCAGGATTTAGTAACAGGAAGAAGGAAGCGTTTCTGACCCCATAAAGTATTCTTGATCAGGATCAATAGCCGAGACGATTTTGTCTGAATGAAAGTCGAGAGCTAGAAAACTATGAATGCTTGAGATTTAAAATTTCGTAAGCAGATTTAAGTTATTCTTATGCAGCGCAAATTTATTTCAATACGTGACCACGCCCACTTGGCGCCCACCCGCAAAGGTTAGTTATTGGGCTGTTTAGACATGTTCAAATTGGTCCATTATTTTAGAAGTTATTGAAGTTATTACCGCTGCTATAAAGCCTGTTTATTATTTAGGGCATTAACGGGTAACACGTAGACCCCGATTGCTTTGTGGCGGAATGTTTAGTTTGAAATTTGTTTGCTGAGTAACGGGTATCTAATAGTCGGGGAACTCGACTCAAGCCATCTTTCTTGTTCTTTTTTTTGTAATTTAATTATAAGAGCAGATGTATACAAACCAGTATGTACTGATAACCTCCATTGTGCATTGCATGAGATTGAGGTCCCACTTATCTCCGATTCTCAGTGTCATCTGCTCTCTTCTCCGCCAGTGCCCTAACATCGATGATGCTCTGGTCAATCTCAGCAGTGTTCCTCCTGCTGGCTCTTGGTCCTGGCTCCGAGGCCCAGGACACTGTTTCGCCGATGTGCCGCCCGGATGAGCTGTGCACCTCGGTGAGGCGGTGCGAGGAATCCGACGACTCCGGCCGAAAGGGCATTGGACCGCGGATTGGCCGCTTCTGCGGCACCGGAAGGATCTGCTGCGAGAAGGCGCAGCTGGACAGCTGGGACATGCAGGGATCAATGCCGCTGTCGTCGTTGAACACCCTGGTAGACCCAATCCGGAACAAGGCTTTCAAAACTTTGGAGCCACCGCCGAACGAAAGTTGCGGCGTGAACATGGAGTGTGTGCCCAGGAAACTGTGCCGCGACAACGTCATCAACGACTCCGGGATCAGCCTGATCAATCCCAGGATCAGCTCGATTCCGTGCAGCAGGTCCTTGTACCGCTGCTGTGCTGTGGACCAGCAGGTGAGTTCAGGCTGGATTAGTTTGGTATTCAATATCATAAAGGACCTTTTACAACTCGCCAGGTGGACGAAAGCCAGAGTCCGTATGTGCAGAAGGAGGCCAGCTTTAAGTACAAGAACTGCGGCTACAGCAATCCGCAGGGCCTAATACCCGACAACGACAAGTTCAACTACACGAACGATGTCGCTCTTTTCGGCCAGTTTCCATGGATGGTGGGCATCTTCACTGGGCGGCAGGACTTTCTCTGCGGTGGCACCCTGATCCATCCCCGTTTGGTGGTCACCTCGTCGCACAACCTGGTCAACGACACGAAGGACACCTTGGTGGCCAGGGCCGGCGACTGGGATCTGAACAGCCTGAACGAGCCGCATCCGCACCAGAGCAGACGCATCGAGGAGATCATCATGCATCCGGAATTCGATCCGGAATCGCTGTTCAACGACATAGCCCTCCTGCTGCTGGACGAGCCCATCCAGCTCGCTCCGCACATCCAGCCGCTGTGCCTGCCGCCGCCGGAAACGCCGGAGAGGTCGCGTGAGCTGACTTCGGCCACCTGCTTTGCCACCGGCTGGGGCGCCAAGTCGGCCAACAACGACAAACTGGAGCACGTGCTCAAGCGGATCAACCTGCCGGTTGTGGACCACGACGAGTGCCAGGCGACGCTGCGAACGACGCGCCTAGAGAGTCGCTTCCGGCTGCGCCCGAGCTTCCTCTGCGCCGGCGGCAGTGATGGCCAGGACACGTGCAAGGGAGACGGAGGATCGCCACTGTTCTGCACGATGCCCGGTCAGACCGATCGATACCAACTGGTCGGCATCGTGTCCTGGGGCGTGGACTGTGCCACCGTGGGCATTCCGGCCGTGTACGCCAATGTGCCGTATCTGCGCAACTGGATCGACGAGAAGATCCAGGGACTACATATCGACATGCAGGCGCCGTAGACTTAAACACAACTACACAAAAGAATAAAATAAATGTACACATTTTTGCAACATCTAAGCTTACCAATTGTCTATATTCTGAGTAAACTGGTATTAATGATATTCAGTTTCAATACTTAATGATAATTACAATTAAAAAGGTTTTTTTGACTAACCAAGCTGAGTCTTATATTTAAAAAAAAAAAGGATTTTTTCTTGATTTTAAGCTGCTGAAATAATAGGGTCATTTAAAAAAAAAATTGTAGTATTAACATAGTAAATAATTAACATGGAATATATATTCTAAACAATATTTTTCAAACTAAATTATTGTATTAGAAGTTAATAACATAACATGGGCAAAAGCGTAAGTGACAGCAGATAATAAAGGCTTATTATTTTAAAAGTAAACACCTAACCAGACTACCTAGAATCTAGTCTGTTTTTAGTACAATTTGATTTATTCGCAATGTTTTCCTCTTAGTCTTAGTCTAGGTAAACCAGCTTTAAAAAATGTCATAAGCAAAACTATGCAAAAGAGAGATATTAGAAAATTAGGGTTATATGGCTTTAGAAATAAGCTCGGAGCTTGATACTTTCGAACTTATCTTTCACAAACATTATCCGCTAACTTCGTCTACTATATCCGCTATTTATCCGTGCCACTTCGAACTTAAACGCTGGGATAGCTTTCCATCCGGGCACTTAAGTGTAACATACCTCCAAGTCACTCGATTTATTGCGATCCTTGAACAAAGGAGCGCGGCAACAAGAAATACGAGCCAAGGAGCAACGTCTTCGTGCCGGCAGCTTATAAATAGTCAAGCCATGGCAGATGGCTATGTGGCCCGTCCTCCATTTGACACCCCCATCCGTTGAGGCTCCGCTTTTGCATCGCGGCAATAGAACTAAATTAACAACGGGAACAACACATCGCTTGGCCAAAAATTGAGAAATTACACGCTGGGCCTGGCAAATGGCTGGGCGAATTGATTTTGGTGCTGCCTGCTGCTCCTCCTTCACTTCCAATTCCTACAGAACTCTTCTCCTCCAGCCTTCCACCTACTATTCCGCGATTACTTGGCCATGAGCTGGGCTAAAAACTCATTTCTCAAGTAAATTGTTTAAGCAGTTTTTGTTTTGTTTTACGTTGCTGGAATTTATTGGCCATTTTTTCGTATTGATTTTGTTGGTTCAATTTACCGAATAAAAATTGCAGTTTGCAACGATGCTTCTGCAGCTAAGTATCCGTTGCCAAGTGAAGGAAGTAAAATGTGCGCTCTTATTTTATTGTTAAGTATATTTATTTTATTATTATATATTATATTTTTGCAACAGAATTTTGACTTTAAATGCAGAGTAACATTTTTAATACAAGAAACTGATAAAATTTGGGTTATCGTATTTATACAGATAAGATAAGATATTCGCGTATGATCACAGAAAAACATGTTCTATGTCTATTGAGTGGCTATTAAATCGCATTAAATTTAAGAGGCTTGCTTTTCAATCTTATTGCCAACTTTTAATATATCTCAATTGTTTAAATTAAAAATATTACAACTGAATAAAAAAAGTTTAGTTTGCCAGACTAAACACACTAGGAATTAGTACGGAGAGTAAAAACTTAATACAAAAGTTGCATTAATACACTGATTAAAAATGGAGTAGTAAAAATAAATATCTGGCTATTGTTTTAATTATAATTGTATATATATTTATAATTGTATATTAAATATTTAAATTAAATATGAAATCATAATATTAAATACAATGCATATTAAATTACAAATATTCCATTTCGGATTGACTGAATGACTGACATTTGGACGCTAAAAACAGGGGAGATACAATGCTGCTGATGCTGCTGCTTTTATATGAATGCTTTGTTTATTTTGTTATTTTGTAATTAATTCAACGTTTATTCCCACTTATAAATATCGGTTATTTTGAATTTGAGAAGCACCGAAAAGTATGAGATAAGCTATCAGGGAAGTTTCAACCTTACACGTTTTAGTCAATCAATAAAAAAATACTTTACTCCGTATTAAGTATTCACAAGTAAATGCAAAATTAAGTATGAAATGTAATTGAATATTTCTAAAATACATGAATATGAATTATATAACATATAGTAATGTTATCAAATTATAATAAATTATAATTATAAAGCAAAACGAGTTGAAATACTGACTAAAATAACAGCTCAAGCCTGCAAGAGTACATGAGGAGCGTTCCGTATATAAATATACATATATAGTAACTATTTTACCTTATACCTTGGACTTTTCGCTCTGCCAATTCGGCTATGGATGCTGGGATCAATTTACGCTTGATTAGCTTTTCATTCGCAAGCTGGGCGCAATCAAATATTTGCCAAATTGATAATCATTTAATTATAACAAAGCATAATGCAAAATGCAACTGCTAACAGCTAGCAGCAAATGTATCTCGGATGGCATCTGGGATGGGTTCTGTACATGATTGAGGGATTGTGTTGCAATGTGTGTTTGCAATTATAATGGCCCTGGCCGCAATTGTGTTGCATACTTTGAGGCACAGTTCCTTGCCATCTGTCCGCCCCTCCTCCCCCTCTTCCTGCACCAAGGAAGCCATCAAATTACAAATGATGTAGTGCCCGGGGGAAAATGAGAACAGACGCACGGACCTTCGGACTGGGCAGCGTTGCAGCTTTGTGGCCAGTGAACGGAAATAGAAACAGCTGCAAATGGCAGTTAGCTCAGTTCCATGCCGCATGTACATGCATACATACATACATATATGCACATTATGCATAAAGGTTTAGTTTCAATGTGGGAGAAAAATCATTCCACTAATGTCCCACGCACGCGCTCACACTCGGCAGCATGAACAATTGACACTGGCTAACTGCCGTGGAAAGTCCACTAAATGCACCCATAGCCATGTTATTCAGATACCCTGTTCAGGAAGGGCCGTCTGTGGAGCCAGGAAGCTCAAACTAATGTTTAGCCACCGGAAGCCAAGGCCAGGAAATTAGGAAGGGAAGTTTCAATTCATGGGGCTTAAAGGTAATTGAGTTCCAGCTTACAATATGTTAATACATATAAAAAAAGCATTTTTAAAATTAAACTAATTGCTATATACTATAATACTATTGCTATACAACATAATTCATTTTATTTAGGTTACAAATCTTTTATCTTCGTTGGAAATATTTTACCATATATATTCGGATTGACAAAGGCATTTATTTAAATTTCTGCTGATCGATATTCATTCACAACTCTTTAAAAGTATTAAAACAATTATTAATTAAAATGTAAATTGGGTTCGCCGAGATGAACAATTTCAAAATAATATGCACAGGTTGTATTTTGTACGAAATTTAACTTATAAGGTTTAAGTGCAGTAAACTCTTTGTCGTATCATAGTTATTCAAGCCATAGAGGCTTAAATAGAAAAGACATAAATCAAAGGTAATGACTCTGAACTCTTTGAAGATCATAACGATTCCGTGCCTAAAAGGTACTCCGTTGTTCGATTTATTAACAATCCAACCATGTTGTCGCGCTAATTAACAGCCAGAGAATAAATTACGAGCACATTTGCAAAAATCCTAAAGCGAGCGAGTGTTATGACCGGAGGGACTGAGCGGCCCAAAAATGGGATGATGTCCGGTTTGAAACAATTAAATGCATGCCCGTGCAAACCACGGACAGGCCCACTCTGCGTATACGCAACTCGGTGCATGAAAAATTAGCCTGGCTCTACACAGCAGTGCCGCACTCTCGGTCCCATTCGGATTCACATTCGGCAATTCGGTGCGACATGTTGTCAGCGTTTTAGACAATTTGTTATGCAAATTGCTTATTAACTTTATGGCCGGCACGCGAGCTCCACTTGGCCGCCCCCCAAACATTTTGAATTGTCAATTAGTTGCGGCGGCCAGAAGCCCCAGACATAACCAACCTGATACTCACCTGCCGAATCGAGAGATAGAGCTTCTAAATACAATATCTGGCATTATTTAAACATTGACCCGTGCTATTTTATGTCATTTTATGGCCACCTGCCTGCCACGAACTGCCATTAAGTGGACATAAAATACGCGCCGGCTTCGATTTTAATTTATGTCCTGCCGCCTCCAATGGTGCTGCAGTTCCTGCTCCTGCAACCGATCCTGCTCGAACTCCGGCTCCTTACCTTCTAATGACATTGGCTCGCTATCGACAGTGGCCTTTAACTTAATTGAAAATTTTCATTTTGTTCCTGCTAAATGGCGGTACAGCGTTATTTATGGCGTTGGCTGGGAACTGGCCAAATAGCCATGGACCCATCTCCTCATCCTCGCTTTCCTGGCATGATTTGTGTAGTTTTAGTTTAATGATGTTTTCTACTGTTCATAGAAAATTTAATTTACCCTTAAGGACAAAAAATTATTTTAGAACACATTTTCATAAAATCGTGGTGTTTTCAATGATTGTTTTTGACAGGTATTTTTAACAGCAAGTTTTTGTGTAAGAGAAAACTACTATTTATAGTTAAACAATTTTGACATGTAATTAGCTTTAAACATAATTAATTAATTATGTATTATTCACATTACTAAGATGTAACTTTAAAAATAGCAGTAGTAGTTTATTAATAACAGTAAATATAAAAAAAAAAGTTTTTAAGTTTTTGTAAGCCTATGAAAACTTATGTTAAACAGTGATTAAGGGGCTATACCAGTGGTACCCACGAAAAAATAAACAAGAAAGAAAGCAAACTTCGGCAAGCCGAAGTTCATATACCCTTGCAGCTATCGCAAGAATTAAATATTTTTGAAAACATTAAAATTATGATTTACTTGCGTATATGTTTAAAAACATTGAAGCTATGACGATTTGCAGCTTAATTATTTGATTGTTCTTTTATATATTTTTATTGTTTGTATGGGAGCTATATGATATAGTCGTCCGATTTTGATGAAATTTAAACCATCATTCTGAAATATTTAACCATTGCTATATGTCGAAGAACTAAAAAAAAAATTAAAAAACAGCAAAGTTATAATTTTTTTCAATTATTTTTCCGATTGTTCCTATGGGAGCTATA